TTTATGAGCTACAGTGCAGCGATCGGTGTGCTTTTCCATATCATAACTTTGAACTGTGGTGGCCAATACGGTCATTTGTAAAATGATAGGAAATTTCTAAGGGCAATAGTTTACTGAGCGAAAACCTATTAACGCACACGGTCGACCGTTTTTCTTGAATCGATAATTGGAGTTGGATTCCAATTGGCCCTTAAGGAGCTTATCAGTTGTTGCATTTCTTTCTCTTTGTGTCACATTACCGTAAAGAATCTTAGCATCAGCGGTGATTTGATTTACGATGAAATTTTATGGTGCACACAACCACAACACATAGCATAAATACGTCATACAGCAATCTTGGTGAATCGCTTCGCATCGAAGTCTTCGACATATGTACCTCATATTCCAACGTGTTCTGTAACTATATCACAGATTTGATGCATATAATATAATAACGCCGAAAATGATCAATTTGCGCATATTTTTCCTGTTCGTAAATCAAATAACAAGAAGTCTAAAGCGGTGTTGGCTGTGTGAAATGAAATGCCCATTGCAAAAAAGTGCATGTGTTTGGTGCATTTTTATGTAACAAAAGTACAACAGCAACGAGAGTAAGACAGAGCGAGTGAGAAAGAGTGAACGAGAGCGAGCGAAAAAGAGAAAGAATAGTTTCAAAAGCAAATCTCGAAAAGATGCACATTTCTACTGCTTTGAAAATGTGGCGAGTGTGTATGAAATAAAAACGTACACAGTCATATTAGATCGGCCAATGGCCACTACTGAAAGGTGAACGAACGCTAGACCCTACACACAAATTCACACACACACACACACTCACTCACTCACATGCTACACGTTATGTTACATGCTTGTCTTAATGCCCATGCAAAAAAAAGAGCAGCAGCAACTTACACTTTTGTGCTTTTGGTTTTATTTCGCTCTGTTTTGTTTTTGCGCGCTGTTTACATTTATTTTTTATATTCATTGCTTTTCGTTTCATTTCTTTTCTCTTCTCATATCATTTTCCCGCGTGTCAAACGCGCGCGCGGCCTCTCCGCCATGTGTATTGTGTGTGGTGTGTAATGTATCGTAATGCATTGTCATCCAGCTACAGTATGATTATATTTATATTATTAGTGTGCGCGCTCAGCGCATATTATGTGAGCTCACCAAAGCTGTCTGTCGTACGACGACGACGACGACGTCGACGGCCACGATGTATCTGAAGATCGGGCTCGGATCTGCAAAACACATGGCACACACAAGAGACAGAGAGAAAGATATTGCATAATAGCGAAAATCGACTAAAGGCCAGTTAATTGAATTAGCTCAAAGTCTGAATGGTGAGAGCATGCATCGTGTCGGGTTCATCGGTAGAAGACGAAAAAAAAACACACACACACAAACACACAAATGACATCAAATACCATGCGGCTTTTCAATCACATCCACAACATTTTCATCGAATGAAACAAAAAAACAAATCATCGCATTGATGAACTCTCTAGGGGCTAACCACTGATTTTTTATTGACAAAATCTGTTTTTATCGCCCAATTTTAATCACATCCGTAAAAAATTGAAAAAATCTGTATATATTGAATTTTATCGTTTAATATCGACTATGAACGTTTAATGTGCTAACGTGATTACCGATTCGAAAATGCTGGAAGTGGGTTTTGGTGGATCCTCAGGATCGTTTAGTACTGCTCCCGGTTCTGGAAGTGGATCCTCAGGATGGGCCAAGGCATTGTCAAATCCAGTCTGGTCCATCCTGAAGATCCACCAAAACCCACTTCCAAATCGGGAGCAGTTCTGAACGATCCTGAGGATGCACCAAAACCCGCTTCTAGAACAGTATCCATTCGTTAAAGCGAACAAATTACTGCAAAAATCGGGCAAAATCGACCAAAATATGATCATATCGGAATTTATTTGTTTAAATGATAAAAAATGTTAAAGTCGGTCATTATTGGTTATTTTTAAAACCGTGGTTAGCCCCTAGTGAACTCTCTGTTTGGCGAATGCAATTTTTCATTTTCAAAAAATGAACGAAGAAAAAACACGATTTCCCAAAATGCAAGACATCAATTAAATTTAAAAGAAAGAAAGAAATACTCGCACCGCAAAATAATATTGGAAAAGAGCGCGGTGTGTGTATTTCAATAAGCGCTTCATCTTGTGCACACACACACACACACTCACACATTTTTCCATTTTCTATAATTAATCTCAAATCAGTTCCGCACTCCGTAAATGAAAAACTTGCATTTAACAATGGAACGAACAGAAAAAATGATGAGTTATTAACATTTTTTTCGTGCTTGTGTTAAAATTATTTTATTATTTATTCAAAATGATTATGGAAACGAAAAAAAAAACATAAACAAAACATAGAAAAAAATAGCTTACGATTTCCTATTTCATCGCTCTTTTAATTTCAATCGGTTTGTTGTTTTTGCTTTGTCGAGGTATCGCTCGTTCGCTCTCTCTATTTCTCGCTTTGAAATTTTCTTTTGGTGCGCACAAGAAAACATTCAAAATTCACTTTTGTTTCGTGAGTTTTTCCTTTTTGCATTGGATCGCGGATCATTATTCATGTCTGCATTTTTGTTGTTATTATTGCTGCTGCTGCTGCTACTACTGTTGTTGTTGTTGTTGGTGGTGTTTCTATTTGCACACACACAAACGTAAATTTTGTGCATTTCTCGGTCTCGCGATGCCACTTTATTGTATTTGCCTATTTCTGCACGCCTTCTTATCATTTGGTTTCGCTTGCTGTTTGATTTTTTTCTTCTTCTTCTTCGTTTCGTGTGTTCGCTATTATAAGAAGTTTAATGAACTATCAATTGTCTTTGATTATTGGATCGATTGTGTGGTCGGGTTTTTTGTTTATTTTATGCTTGCAATGATTTAATGCTGCTTCATTTTAATTGAGTATTCAAAATCTGATCGCTTTCATTTACAATTTAATTATTTGTGCTGGGTGAAGTTTGTTTTATTTTTCTTTCATTCAAATCCATTCATTGAAAATTAAATTCAAGCCATTCATTGGAATGATCTCAAATCTCTTCCCTTAATTCATTCATAATTGGATCACTTTTTTTCTTCAAATATAATTACATGAAAATTGCTTATGCTATAATTAATTAATTTTGGGCCGATTAACAAATCTATTTCGAAACGATGGAAATTAATTTTATTAATCAATTTGAAATTGCATAAATTAAATGAAAATGAAAATGTTGATAAGTGACATGGGAACACAAATCGCTTAATTTTCAAAGCTGCTTAGAGATTTAAGCATTATCAATCATTTCAAACGTCATTTTCGTAATCCATCATTTTGCCATGGAAAAATCCTATGTTTTCGTAAAATTTTATTTTTTCAACTAGAAAAATGTAAATTTTATCGATATTGAATTCAAAGATAATTTCTGATACAGTTAGAATTTGGTGAGCAGCAGGGTATAATTACATATTTCACGATTTTTAAGAATTTTTGTTATATTTCTCAATTGATTTGTTCAAATACTAATTTATTTGAATCTCAATTGTCGAGAGAAACAACTAGTTCTCACAATTTCTTAAAATTTATTTTTGGCTTTTCATCAAAACGCAAATCTTTTCAAAACTTTTACAACTTGTTCTAAGAATAAGATGTTCCATCTGAGATCTGATGATCGCTATGAATATAAATGACCACTCCGTTTGTTTTTGTAGTTGGACCAAGGTCACTTCATCTTAGATTTTTTAACAAACCCGATTTTTTTTTTCAACCGAAAATGGAACCTTCAAGTGACAAAAAATGCGGAAATTATAAAGAGTTTTTTTAATGTAAAAATTGTTATATTTTAGATGCAAAATGTTTATCTGGACTAGAGACGCATTTGAATAGTATTCAGTGGATTATTTCACGGAAAAACATGTAAAATATCGTTTTTAAAATTGTTTGTCAGCTTAATACTATGACGTCTTTCGTTGACGTTTAGTTTTGCATCGAAAATTTAGCACTATTTATGGAGTATGCGAAAATACGAGGAAAAAAAACACAAATTGTAATTCCAAAAAAGTTGTTATTCGAAGATACAAGTTTTTTGATTTTATTTCTTTTTCATGGGTCTTCAAATATTTTTATTCAATTCATAAGAAATAGAGTGCATCAATCAACTGAAATTATCTTTTTAATAACAAACAAAAATTTAATCGATCTAATAATAACAACATATAATTTGTCATTCAACACTGATGCCATCAAAGAAAATACGTTGACCTTTGAATGGATTAAACCTCGATTGGTCATAAATTTGTGTTAAATCTGTTAAAAATAGCTCAAAGTCAATACATTAAACGGAAGAGTTCTGCATTCATTCGAGAAAACCAATGAAGTTGTTTCATTTCATTGCGAAGGGAAAAAAGATTTGCTTTTGAAAGATTATTCACATGAATTCTTTTCTGTGACTAAACTATCGTATAGAATGCAAACTACAGAATAGAAAGAATGTGATGTTTTTTCTAATCATCATAAATTTCGATTTATATTGATGTGATTTTCTTGAAATTCGCCTTCTAATTGCAAGCGAGAAAAAAATGAGGAATTTTTTTTCAATTCCGTGTGACATGATTTTGAAATGGTCTACAAGAGTGCCAAAATAGGTATTATGTGCTCGGTGAGCACGCTATGAACACATAAAGATGACCTTCGAAGTGTGCCTCATTTGAATTGAAATCCGAAGCTAAATCCAAATGGAAGAAAGTAAACCGAATAAATTCAAATACTAAATTGCTAGCAATGAATTAGCCATTGAAAAATGAGAAAAATGTCTATGAATTTAAAATAGTGGAAAAAGAGTGATTTTCTCAAGAAGAGCGGCGCTAATTGACATTTGAATTGAAAACAAGCGGCAATGTTTCAAACGCATCAGTGTGCGATAGTGGCGCCAGTGTGTACATGGCCAACTAAATGATGTATTTCACACATTCAAGATGCTCAATGACATGCATTCTGCCATATTTCTAAAAGTAGCGCAGTCGTGCTCTTTCTTCATAGCATTCACATTCACCGTATCGTGCGAATTATTATTATTTTATTTTATTTTATTTTAGAAATCACATCCGTGGTAGAAAATAGTGAAAAAAAAGTTTATTTTTTGAAATTCAATTGTAATATATTTGCATAAAAGGTAAAAATTTACAAGACCGAAATTATTTCGTATTGAAATATGGCAGCAAAATTGTTCGTAATCGGAGAAACAAGATGACTGAAAATAGATGAGAAATGTCTCGTTCTTTTTGTGCGTTTTCTCCGAATGGCATAAGGCGTGGACGCCATTTTTTTTTTATTCTGTCCTACTTGATTTTTGTTTTTGCCGCAAAATCGGCGAAACAAAATTTTTGTATGCCGTAAAACATGAAATTTCGTACAAATTCAATTTCGAGCAAATAATGGCCAGTGTTGAAAAATAAAAATCGAACTGCAATTGAAGTGGAATGAAAAGAAAAAGAAATATAGTGAAAACATGTGCGATGTACAAATTAGCGCACATCACAGCACCTAATTATGGCTTGTCTATTCGATCGAAAACCCATACCAGTTTTTTCACTCTCTCTCTTTCTCTGTCTCTCCCTTCGCTTTTAGTATAAATAATAAAAATGTCACGTTATCGTGAATGGGATTTACAATGCAAAGTGTATGTTGGGAATTTGGGCTCATCGGCGTCAAAGCACGAAATTGAGAATTCATTCAGTAAGTATGGCCCATTGCGAAATGTATGGGTTGCACGAAACCCACCCGGCTTCGCTTTTGTCGAATTTGAAGATCGTCGCGATGCTGAGGACGCGGTTCGAGCTCTAGATGGATCGTAAGTTGGATAAATGAACATAATCTCCAAGTTTTTTTTTTTTTTTTGGTTGTGAACGTTTGATTAACGTATTGTTTTCCTTCCGTTTCATTTCCTAGTCGTTGCTGTGGCACGAGGATCCGTGTCGAAATGTCATCCGGCCGATCACGACGAGACGATCGTAAAGGAGGTGGTGGTGGTGGTGGACGTGGCGGCGGCGGTGGCGGTGGCGGTAGAAATAGGTACAGGTACGTTTATATATTATGTAGTGAAGTTGTCATTTTTTCTAAATTAATCGAATGTCAAATCGAAAGAAATGGTAATGGAGTATTTAAGTTGTTCAATTATGTTTTGTTTTTTGTTTTTACTTTTTTCCGAATCAAAAAAAAAAAAAAAAAACACAACCAACCATTTTCTCTATAATTTTAATTTTTCTTCTTTTGTTGATTCATTTTTTTTTATATCGTTTAATATGCAATGTTAAGTGAATATATATTTGAATTTTAATTTTGCTTCCAAAAAAAAAACAAAACAAAACCAAATCAATTAATTCTGTGATATGCGAAAGAGCTTGAATTGTGGTGCGCTTTGCTTTCCGTTTTTATCATTTTTTATGTCGTGCCTCCAAATGCGCCAAGTTCTTTCGACCGTATATATTTCATTTTCCTTGGTGTGATTTATTTTCAAGTGCCTACGTTCCATGCATTGATTTACCAAAAAAAAGCATAACCAAAGAAAAAACTGCTTACATCGATCCAATCGATCGGATGCTGTAAACAATTTCTATACATGCGCCAATGTGTTGTCATTTGTAATTGTTGTCGTTCCTTTTTATTCAGATATATTTCTTCTTTTTTTTCTCTTCAATATGATGATACATATGTAACAATGTGATGGAAAAATGATTTAATTTTTTTTTTCTCTATACATTTCATTTATTAAGTTGAGACGTTTTCGTTTCGCATTATTTTGAACAAAACAAAAATATTCTTGTATATTTATTTAAAAAAAAAAAAACACAACAAAAAAAATCTAAAAAAAAACCAAAACCAAAAAATATAAATTAAAATCGAGTGTGGTTATTTCAGGGTCTTAGCTTCTCTCATCTCGAATCATCACTTCAATCATACTACACATCCACTACTACTATCTACTACTCTATGTCTACAAACCGTATTATTCGCCATCTTCGTCTTTCTTCTTCCATTTCGTAGCGTTTGTCGGGATAAAACAGGCAAATGTCTCGACATTGGATCGGCCAACATTTTCAATTTAATGTGCGTTCGCAAGCATATTGTCGCCACTTGAACAGCGTGCTAAACAATATATTTTCATATGGACGCAATATTTTCCAATCGTTTTGGATCATAACGAGAAAAAAACCACTTGGAACGAAAATCGTTTTTGAAAAAAACGTCAACCAATTCCATCACACATTTCGAGTTCGCGTCGAAAAGAATAAAAAATGAGTGTTTTTTTCCCTAGTGAAACATAAAATTTGAACAATTTTCTTCGGGGGAAAAAACGGAATAACTCTTTTATGCAAGAAAAAGACATTTGTTTTCTACGAAAGAGCTCGTGTTTTGTATCATTTCTCCCGGAACAGGGATTGCATTTCGTACATCAAATATTTAACAGTCTACTTGTGCCGGTGGATATGACTTCCAACACCGAAACGTAATTCAACAAATAACGCGGCCCGAACTTTTCGGACACACACACACACACACACACATACATTTTCCATCAGTTCAACGCTTTCCTGAACGATCACATTCATCAAGGCTTAATCAAATCAACTGGAGTCAACTTCCAGCACTTCGTGGCATTATCCATCCAAACGACTTCCAGCTACGCATTTCATTTCTAAACCATTTCAACGAATTTGCTCTTCGTTCAAATTCTATTTCGAATTGTCATCGATTCATTCGATAATTGAATTTCAATTGCATACGATTTGGATTGATTGATTTCATTGCATCGGGTCCGCGCAAACATGATCCGAAGCGTCGTTAGCACAACCGGTTCACGATACGCGAACGCACGTTTGATAGTTAAGAACCGAAAAAAAAACATACACGAGAAAAAAGTATATAGTTGGATATATGAAGTTGGTGTAGAATAAGAAGAAAGCCCCTCCCTCTACTTTCAACATGAAAAAAATCGCTTCCTGAATCAAAATCAAACCAAACAAAACTCCATAAACAAAACAAATCCGAGCCTGAGTTCAAATGACCATAAATGGCGATGAGTTTTTGCTACTAAATCCATCCACGCTGTGCTCCGACCGCCACACAACGAAATGACACAGAAAAACACAAACACACACACACACACACCCAAAATAAAGAAAAATAAATCGAAAAACAGTCGACATCAAAAACTACATGCCTCCATATCTATGAAAACCAAAATACCCGATACCGCGCCAACGGTCAACACCTGTCCATCATTGTGGCGTGTTCTTCGCTTTCATCAAGCTTCTTCTCTTCCATCAAGCAGACAATGCAACATTTCTCAGCCCTGCCGCCTAAACAAACCACAAATTGTATCGACAATCCAAAAGAAACACAGAGAGAAAAAGAAACTCGTCTTTTTTTCCCTTTGTTTGACAAATTAACTCAACATTATCGGCATCATAGACAGCAAACATCGCCCGAGAATTTCCACTAAGTGCTTTTCACTCAACACAACCACATCGAAACTAACCAACCCACACACACACACACACTCAACGCGATACTGAACTCAAATTCTGAATGCACGCACGCTTCCGTATGTCGTAGGCACTTAAAGTCAATCGATAAAATCAACAGCGCTCGAATTTCCACAAAACAAAACACAAAAAAAACCCATAGAAATTCTGAAACAAACCCCGGTCAGCTTCATCAAATAGCCACAAATTTGATGCGTTGACGCCAGCAAATCTGCTCGACTTCATACATACACACACAAATTTTGAAAGAAAAAACCAAAAATCAGAAAAACAATCCCCGTTAGAGTAGGATAGACATCAACCGTCTAGATACTACCTCTGCTCAACAGCTACTAGAGTTGCTTCATGAGACACACACACAAAAACCAAAGTCAAATCAAACCGAAATCAAAATAGATACAAACAAAAATTGCCACAAAAAAAATCCAATATAACCAAAATCGACACTCCACACCGACCACCACATCGATCAACCACGTCATCGTTTAGTGGTTTGTTTATTCTTTCATTATTTAATTTTTACATTTTAATAATTAAAATGCGAAAAAACAAAAACAAAAATTTTTAAACATTTTCAAAGTCAATTTTTTTCCCAAAACAGTTATATATCCATTTATTATCACATAAAAACCGATAATTTGTCCAAAACCGCCGAAACGCTTTAATTTTTTTTTTCATATTATATTCAATTGGAGCTTTCATTCGAGAAATGCCATGAATTTAGCTAAAGAATTGAATGCGATTTCATAACCATAGTGTTCGATGTGAAACCAAATGCATCGCACATTTTCGAAGTAATCGTAGATCAAAATATACAATACAGTCATCTCCATTTGCTATATTCACTTAACTAACCCTAGAATGAAGCGTTCAAATGGCTGAATTGTACAGAATAATTTTTTTTCTTTCTATTTGAAATACTCCTCATCAAAATAACAGAAAGACTCAAAGTTTCGGTTTAAAAGAAATTCCGTTTGTTTAAATGATTAGCGCCCGATGTGACGAGTGAAGGCTCTAATTGAATATTGACCATATATTAACCATGAAATATCACTTTGAAAAACTAAAAAAAAACTAAAATAATTGTCATTCATAACTTTTGCATATTTAAAGAAGGTATGAATTTGAAACGAAGCAACTTCTTTAAATATAACAATTTTTTGTTTGTCGAAAAACTATCATGAAAACATTTGATATTAAAACAGGCATAGATTTAATTCTTTAGGGAAACCAAAACATCATATGGAGACAATTGAATTCACGTCTTCAGAAATCCCTCTATCTATTTCTCTCTCTCTCTCTCTCTGTGTCACTCTCTTGTGCATATCTATATACATTTCAGTGTAGTTCATTCAATTTGATTTTAGAATTGTAATTCAGAGCATAGAGCTATATCAATATATTTTGTACATTATTTAATTTTAGTCAAGTTGGAAGAATACTGTAATCAAATACTTCTAGCAGAGAATAGTTTCAATTTTTTTTACACATTTTAATCAAAAACCTTTTTTTTCTTTCCAATTTCCGATTCACAGATCACGATCACCCCGGCGCACCAGATCACGCTCTCGTAGTTTGTCGCGCGATAGACGCAGTCGATCTGACTCACGAGATCGCTATTAAATTAACAAAAAAAAAAACAAACACACACAGACACATTTAACTCGATCAAAAAAAAATGGTTTACTGATTTAAACCTACCTTCGTTTTTATTCTTCTTTTTATAATTTTGATGAGAGAAAAAAAAGTACGCGTGAGAAATAAATAAATTGAGAAACAAAAATAAAAAGAGAAATAAGAAAATAGAGCGAGCTAATAGAGAGAGTTACAAGAGGATTATGTCGGCATACATTTTTTCCATGTCATATCTTTTCCATTTTCATATTTAATGAATTAACATTTTGTTTTCTAATAATTGTAGAAATATGCAGGATTTCAAGTACATTTAATACATTTAGTTGACCAAGATCGATTGACACGTTTTAATTTTTTTTTCTTTTTTTTTCAACTTACATCATACAAATATTCAATAAACAACAACAACAAAAAACTAGACATTAAATGAAAACAGAAACAACAATAAAAATGAACAAGAAATTTAAAACACGATGTCGTTTTATTTATTCAATGTTATAACTTTTTATCATTTTCCTTTATTTCCATTTTTTTTCATTCAGTTTTTAATGACACAATATTAATAAAAAGCCACGATTCTGGCATGGTATCAAACTTACATTCTATGAGTCAAAGTCGCCGTTCTGGCTATCTTCTTGTATACGGGTTTTCTTTTTTGTACGGACGACCACTTCGGAAGTTGACAAACAACAACAAAATAAACAAATGCATTTCCATTTCAACACAGGCTTCTTATGGCGTTTTTTTTAAAGCGTTATCTAATTGAAAATATCCGGTGACGATGTATCTATTGTGGCAGCACTATTTGTGTTTGGCGTTTGATTCGCATCGATGGCATCCATTTCATCCTCTTCTTCTTCCTCGTCTCGACTGTCCGAATCTTCACTGTCGTCATTTCCAGCTGGAAAAAAGTGACCAAATGATTGAATTGATGGAAACGGCTTTAAATCGAAATAAAATGGTAAAAAATCAACTACAAAACACTGTAAACAAATGTGCACCAAAGAATTCTTCTGCAGTAATAATGTTAAGCAATGGAATTTGAATAAGGCTGAGGTAGGTACCTTCATCATCTGTATCTGGATCAGGTCCACTTGGTGGTGCTTTTCCAAAGGGTGACAGATCATGTGCAGTCTGTTGAATGGATTTCAGCTATGAAAAAAAAACACAATAACATTAGTAAGAGCTTTAGGAGCATGACTTTAAAATTCAAGAACATGCATCAATGGATGAATCCAAATTTCATGAGTAAAATCTTTTTTTTCCAAAAAATTCAATGATGAACGAATCTTTTTCTCCGTGAATTCCAGAGCCTTATCGATCCAAAAACTTAAAAGAGCCACAAATCTGAATCGAATTCTATTCACTTTGTCGGAATCAAAAACAAAAACGAAATGTTTTGACTGATCCTTACCCATGCAACATGCTCCTTTTCGATTTCGCGTAATTCCGATTCTTCATCACATGGTGTGTCGGCATCTATGCAAATGCTACTTCCAACCGTTGGTCTGAGTGATGGAAAAAATGGAATCATCGACATTGTTCTCAACTATATTTGCGTTCTTTTTTATTTTCAGTTGATGCACAAAGTCTGCTTTGTCTCGCAACAATTGTCAGACGAAAAAAAAAACATTTAACATTGAAGTTGACAGGTCGAAAATGATGTTGAGTATTTATCCGATATGTTCAACTCATACCTGAATATACTTAAGCCAACCGAGTTGAAATTGATTGTACTCAAGCAAAGTAGTTTGGCATTGAAACCGTTTCGTAATGAAAGTTTGTTTTTGAAAGAAAAAAAATGAAAACAATTTGGATTGCAGTGATGAATTCGAAATTCTTGGACATTTCTCAAGCAATTGAAAGTGGCTTTTATTTTAAGAGGATTCTTGTGAATACTGTATTCTTTTGAGAATGTTTGGCTCTGCGATGTGTTCACCCCGTTTGTCAAAGTTCGTTAAAATTCTTCATTCAACGTCCTCTCCAAACCAATCAGTACAGTTCCTCTTTAAACTAATTTGAATTCAAATCAAAATTTTCGAAAATTACGGCCAATAAACAGAAACGCAGAAAGAACAACGTAGATCCATTTTGTCATGAGAATTATTTCAAACATCCACCATCAAAAGCAGCTCGAATGTAAATTGAAACGATTTGCAAAAAATTCCGATATACTTTCGCATTGAATTTTCATTAAATTTATTAAAACAATATATAAAGCACATATCTGTTTTTTTTTTCCTTTTATGTACTAGATGATCTAAAGTTTAATAATTTGGTAGGTACTAAATTTTTTTTTTCCATAAATTTTTGCAACATTAGTACATAAATTTAAATTTCGACAGTGTTGTTGTGTACTTTTTCTTCTAATATGAATAAATTAAGTATGTAAAACATTGATTTTGTCATTTTCATTTTATTAATTATTATTGATTCATTTTCATTTTATCTATACATAAATGTATGTGTGTGTATGTGTTTTTTCATTCATTTTTTTGTCTTTGTTTCAGAGGAAAACGTCAATTAAAGAAAAAATATGGTTGTTCAAAAATGTGATGTCTTCAATTTATCATTTAATTTAATTTAAGGGAGAAACATTGTTTTTGGTATATTTAGATTTAAACTTAAGCCTATGTCATTTTTTTAAGTGTTTGAAAATTGTTCAATTGCGTATCAGTTTGTTTTTTTTTCTTGTTTTTGTTTTTATATTTTTTATCATTTTTTTTCTTTGGAAAATATATACACATAATTTCATTTTCATTGAAATCTCTTTGTTTATACACATTGAATTTTTTGTGTCGTTAAACCGATTTGAAATATTCAATCGAAGCAATCAAGACGAGAGAGAGGAGAGCACAAGTGTCGAGTGGACAAGTGTCGATTTGTTCGTTATCTCGCCTCTCAATTCCCATTTCGGTACCTCGCTGTGTGTTTCATCGCAGTCATTCTAATCAAAACGAGCTGGAACAAACGAATGGCTTCCATTTGTTGTGTTAATTATTAGTAAAAAATACAACTCTGTATCATATTTTGTATTTTTTTGATTTTTAGTTTTCACTTTTCTTCTCCTTTCGTTTCGCCACATCATTCAATGTTATAATATTTATTCCAGTTATACATTTTTGTTTATTTGTTTGTTTGTTCATTGTGCTGCATATTTGTACTCCTATTCCTTCAATAATTTCATGTTTTTCCTTTAGTTTAAATATTTTGTGTGTGTGTGTTGAGTTAAATGTTTTTTTTTCCAGTTGTTGCAGTCAGACACGTTCGCAATAACGGGAATAGTGTTGCCCAAATTCTTTTTGGCTTCGATATATTTTAATGGAATAGTTCACGAAAAAAAACGATTAATACAAAAAACGTTGTTAAATATTTCTATATGTGACATTTTTGTTGTTCTGTTCAAAAACCTGAATTATAGTTTGTTTTTGTGAATGTGTGTGCATGAACTTTCTGCGAATGAGAGGTTAACTTTGGTAAACTGTATACAAAAGCAAGATTTAGATCAATCGTACGCGAAAAAATCGAGGGCCAAATCACTCTAAAGTAATTTGTAATAGAGAAAGTAATTTACGTGTAAGAATCTCGATTACTTTTGAAAAGTAATCGAGATTTTTACACGTAAATTACTTTCTCGATTACTTTCTCTATTACAAATTACTTTAGAGTGATTCGCCCCTCGGAAAAAATCCAATATACGTGAATAGAATTGATCAATTAATTGATTTTTGAATCGGCGATTACAGCGACAATATGAATCTCTTTTGCATGCAAGAGAATCTACTTTCACTTTCGGTTAGAGCGTATTATGAGCTAACGTCAGTTAGTGCTGCTGACATCAGCTCATAACACGCTCTGCTTTCGGTGTCCTGGAATGTTCCACTATTGAAAAAAAAATGGGAAAAATTCACTCAGCCTCTCATTCCCGACAGTTCGTTTGTTGTATTTTCGACGGGGATGAAGTGAAACTGTTTTCTATGACTGATAGATAGATAGTTCAATGCAAAAGTTGTTGTTGTTGTTTGTTTTTCATGATAAAAATGGATTTGAAAGTCTTTGTTCATCAGAGGAAAAAAATAAATTAGTAAAAAAAAACCCATAAAAACAATACCCGTACAAATATGAAATGGTTTTACATTTAAGTTATGTCATTTACAAAATGATTGCCGAAACATTTGGCCCATGTTGAGTTCATTACACTATTATTTTGTTAGTTTATTTGCATGTAGTTATTTTCGCACAAGTTTATTACTTGTTAGTGTGGTTGTCTATTCGTTTGAATGCAACAAAACACTCAACGAAAATGGATGAATCAAGGAAACCATCTTTGAGTACAATGAATACAACATAAAAACAAGAAATTCTCCATTGAAATATATGATTTTTTCTATACGATTTTTTAAACAGAAATCGCATGATACTTATAATTTCATGGGAAGTGTGATGACAGCTAGTTGGGGAGAAAAGGACGGTATTTTTTTTTGTTCTATATAATCAAATTTGATACGTACAAAGGCGCAAATATCTCTATCATGTTTTATCATTGGTAGTAATCATGAACAAAACAAATTATGCTAAACTTTGCCCACATTCGATCACAAGTTTTCACGCCGGATGTGCCGAAATCACAATCACTCTATAAAAAAAGAAAGACAGTGCTATCGAATACAATTGAATTTTTTGTCCCAAAATTTAGACCATATCAACGCTAATTTTGCAGGAAAAAGGGGAAAGCTTCATTTCCGGCGGAGATTCGCAGCATTGTAATTCCCTTCAATGTCATGTAATCTTTTTTTTCTGTTTGAACTGAATTTGTTTTGAACTAATGGAACTAACAACTCGGCCAAATACGTTCTTGTGTGTATGTGTATGTGTATTGATGTGAAAACGAATTGATTTACGTTTGCTTTTAGATTATGCTTTAGTGCTTTTGTTTTGTTGTTGTTGTTGTTTTTTTTTGCTTCATTTCATTTAAATATTACAATTTATTTATGACATTTAGATTATAAATTTAGTAATAGTGGATTTTTTTTTGTTTCATTTATTAAAATTAGAACTCTCGTTTCGAAATAGAATTCAATAATTGCTTACAATCAGTCGAAAATATTCTATACATGTATTTTTTTTTGTATGTTAATTTTTGTTTGGTTTGGTTTTCCATCGTGCGCCAATATTCTCAGCACAATCCCTGAATCAATGAATTCAATGCAGGTGGAAAGACAGCATGTTGCAATCGGTCACAAGTTTGGAACTAGCCACCAGTTTCAAATAGATCATACAACATTGAAATTTGAGGTTTTTTTAACTTTCACAAATTCAATGGTTGAGTTTAGATTCTGAACATTAGAACAGCAAGTGTCTTGATCCATATAGTACTGGTTGATTAGTTGAGTTGGAAATATCGAGTTCTGACAGAAATATGAGTGCAAGAATATTTTGAAAAAGATATATATACTTTCTTTCCAATTTGTTTTATTAGAAATTTTAATTCAAGAGAAAGAAAGAATTAAAAAATTTTCCTCATTTTCCAATCGCAATTGGAAATAACCTTAACAATTCTCAACCTTTCAATTCGAAATTCAAATCTTGTCACGATTTCGAATCGAAAAAGTGCTTTTCACTCAACATTTGCTTGGTAACGCAATCTAAGGTCTGATTTTGAATCAGCTGGACCAATCAATGTTGCTTCGATTATTTTTTGCTTGCTCGTTAATATGCTTTATCGTTATGTTTAATTATAGTTTGCAGTGGATTTAACACCAGGAATTGTACTGAAAATATTGCATACATACCTATAAATATCATTTCAATTCAGGTCATATAACATAATCATAGGTTCGATTTGATTGCAATTTTGCCGGGATATCACCACTCGACACTATGAAATAAGAGACTTGATGAAAATAAAATAAAATAAAAAGAATAAAAGAGGAATTCAATGCAGAGCTTTAAGCTTCAATTATGGGCACAATATCTGCAGAGTCGAGTATCATTTGCTTCTGACTCTACTGGCAGTGGCTTTTGAAATTAGTTTCAAGCGATTGATTGAATTGTGGAAATAAAATTTGTGTATCTAAAAAGAATTCAAAGCGACGTTTTCAAATTGTTATTGAAATTCATGATCAATTGGTCAATAATTGCTTATAATTATGGAGCAACTATTCCATAATTGAAATCATTTCTGTGTACAATTGAATAATTCAGATATAATTTGCAAGTATCAACTTGAATGTATCAAATTTTTCAATCATGTCATGTTTTGGACTAGCCTTAAAATTGCATGCTTTGATACATTTCAATCCGTTTGTAAACAGGTGCAAAAGAGCTTCGACGGAAAAGAGAAATTCACACAGTTCATCGTGTCGAGTGGAAATAAATCGGCTGAATTGCAATGCAAACGATTTGTCTTTGTTACAAACTATTTTTTTTGTTCTGTTCTGTTTTTAACTGCATGTGATACACACTAGAACAGTTTTTGTTATTTCGGTTATTGACTAAAGTCAATATCATTTTTCATTCGCTTTGACTGTTCGTCTTCTTTTCATTTGCTACTTTGTTTCTTTCCCTTTCTGACATTTTTATCTCTGTAAACGGTTCAATTAATCGGTAAGGTTTTGTTTCACTTTTTGTTTGCTACATTCCTAAAATCAATTGCTCTTCTTCAGTATGTTCGATTGGAATTTATTTATTAATTTCTTTTTTTGTAATTCTTTAAATATTTTGTTTTGGTTTTCCAATTTTGTTTCTTCACCTTCCTCATTCATTAATATATTTTTCGCTTAAGGATTGGACAATCTAAACTACAATTTAAACATCTATTTTAGCATTTGTTTTCATTTTTTCCCATTTTTTTTCCTTTGTCTTCATTTCATTTCACTTAAACATGGATTTAGTAATAAATTATTATGTGTTTTAAATAAATAATTTCAGACTAGTAATCCAAATATCACGATAATTCTTGAGAGAACTGTGTTTCAAGGGTGGGACGTCGCGTTGGTTGACGTGGTTGTGTACGCATCGGTGGGGGCCCAGGGCTACCATAACCAGCTGCATAGAGTTGTGGACACGAGTCTTTTATTAATTCTTGCGTTTCACGAATTTGTCGCTGAACTTGTGGAGCTAGGCGCTGTACACTTATTGCCGGTGGAAACCGCGGCTCAGGTTGCATCTGTGGAACCTAAGCGGGAATAGGGAGAATGTAATACATTCAACAACATTTCGGAATATGAATTTATGGGAATTTTGTTGCGGTTAATTTGGGTTTTAATGCAATTTTAGACGAAAAGTGGTTGAAACAACATGAAATTTTATGGCGCAATCATTGGAAATGGTATGAATTTGGAGATTTAAAGCTGATTTGAACGATTTTTTGTGTGAATTGAAGTGGTTCTAGATAGTTTCAAGCTTTTTCGGTCAATTTTAAGCTTTTTGCAAATTTGCGGCTTTTTCAATGGATTTAAGTTTATTTTCTTAGAGATTTTCAACGATTGTTTTTTTTTGCAGATCAACGCAATATTTTTTTCCAAAATTTCCCCAATAAGATCGAGATCATTTCAATCTAATCCAGTCTTTGAAATATCAAATCAAGAACTTGCACGTTATTTCATTCTCTTCATTTGGAAATGGAGAAAATGTCTTGATCTTCAAAAGAATTTCGTTGCTAAGATGAGTTTTCCATGGAAATCAGTAAATGTCATTCGACTCGGGTGCTACAGCGAGTAAAAATCTTGCATTTGACACTAAAAAGTTGTGATAGAAGTCCGATAATTTATGAAAAACCGATTTTAAACCCAGCTCTGGTGTGATGGATTTTATTAGTTTGTCAGAAATGATGGTAAAACCAATGATCTGTTTTTTTTATATCCAATTTGCTAGAGAGCTGGTTATAGACGTTATCGAAATGTGGAGAGAGTGAGAGTAAAAAAAAATGGTACATATATCGGCGTAATGGGATTTACCTGCATTGGATGTAGTACATCGTTAAAGTATGAAGTTTGAGGTGCTGAGTGTGTGTAGTATGAAATTGGAACATGTTGTGGTAGCATGTTACCTACAATGTTTGGATTATTTGTGGTGATGCCAACGTTTGTGTTGGCAACATTCACTGTGGCAGGTCTTTGTCGGCTATTCGCATTCATGGCATTACCAACTATGCGAACGGATGCAATGCCACATTGCTGCTGTTGCTGTTGGTCTTGAGGCCTGAAATGCAAAAAAAAAAACAAAAACAAAGAACCGAAACGAAACAAAAAAGAAGAACAAAAGAGCAGAGAGAAAAAGAGAGAGAGAGAGAGAGATCAGTGATGCGCTCGGAATATGTCATCGCGAGTAATCATAATTTAATTACCTCATGGCGGTTTGTCGAACGGGCGTACCCTGCAACGACCGACTTGCTGACGAACAAAGCGATGATGCCGTTAGGCTAGCCGATTCCCAATGTTGGACAAGCGCATTTAGGCGTGCTTCTTCTAGGGCCATTTCGGTTTCACTCGATGAATCATAATCAGGACCCTGTGTTCGTTCCCGTGGATGAAAGAGATGATTTTTTTTTAAGGTCGTTAAATTTTGAAATGAGCTTTTATATTCCATTGTTTTTCTGACATAATGAATGAAAGGAAAAGTACTTACATCTTCGATTTTTTGGTCCAAAACTCGAAAAAAGTTCTGTTGGCTGGACGAAATTTCTCTGAATATTAGAAATAATGGAATTGTGTAAACATTGAATGTTTATTGTTTTCTTTTCCCTGCTCCCCCCCCTCTCTCTCTCTCTCTTTATTTTTGTTTTAATGAGAGAGACAGTGGGCGCGCAGGAAAAAATTGAGTTTAAAAACTGTGCAAATATTTACTGGCTTTGTAACAACGACAAGTTTTTTGCCCTTAACAGTGATATGGAAATTTCATTATTTGGCTGCTCTGGAGATCCTTGTTCATCTGACAATGTATCATCTTCGATTCGTTCTTTGTCCTTGTTAATTTCCTTTTCATTCTCGTTGGAAATGTGTCCTTCTTCTTCGTCCGCATCAGCGTCTGGATCAGCTGTAACGTGAAGAGAATGAACAGAGAAAGAAAAAAAACAAGACACAATTAAATATTCTCAAATGCCGGCACGAATTAAACATTTGTTTTTTTTTCTATTTCTTCTTCTTATTCGCCATATCTCTCTTCTACATTTCTCGAGTTTAAACAACACTTCATCAAAATGATTGTTAATAGGCAGTTGTTGCAAGATAGAGAGATAGATGAAGAGCGAGCGAACGAACGAGAAAAAGACAGAAGGAGAAAAAGTTTTTCTCTAGCTTGATGGTTTGGTTTTAAAGAGATTGACAATGAATGTCGGGGAATGGATGTTTGTGTTGTTGCTACTTGAGGCTTTTTCTTCGCTGCCTTGTTCTATTGCCATTTTTATGTAGTGTGTACACGTAAAAGAGACATGTTCATCGCAAACCACCCATCATCGTTGTCGTTGTCGGCTTTTTACATCATTGATGTGCAATGGAACGAAATGAAGATATTTCTATTCACTCACGACTCTCATTCATATACTACGACGAACCGAACGTGTGAGCAAACGAACGAACGAATGAACGGGTATGTGTTGGCGTGCCCCGTCCGCAATGATTCTGATTTTTTTTCAGAAGCGAAATGCATATTCATAGGATTTTAGAGCTCAAAATGCTTTATCAATCAAGTATCTTATTATGATGTGCCCTCTTGTTTTTAGATATTGCACGTCTCGTTTTTCTCAAGTGGATGCAACACCAACAAACCCTGTTGTGTCCCTATCCAATGTCGCGAGCGCTATCAAGCTAGCTAGCTAGCGTTTGGCTTAGTGCTTCGGCATTTCGCACGCGTAGAAAATATAATATATACATAGTATATACGTGTGTGTGTGTGTGTGTGTATGTGTAAAGTAACTCTTGTGTCTTGTTTATAAATTATTCAACCCGTGGAGTCAGTCACTCTCCATTCAAATTGGCACATCCGGAATCACTTAGGTCGTTTAGGATGAAAAAGCCATTTTGATGTGCGGGAGGGAATATATGAAAATGCTGTGGAAAACAGCTTAAAAATCTGTCGGAAATGTGCGCAAAATATATAATTTGGACGAGAAACAAATGCGATCTGTCTCTTGGTTTGGTGCTGTGTGTCTGATTTGCATTTTATACACTTTATCGTCGCTGACTTGTGTTGGCCGTGGCGCGGCACGTCGACAGCAAATTCGCTTCATCTGCTGCGTTTGCTCTCTTTTTCTCACTGATTATCCGTTCTTTGTATTTTTCTCATTCTTTCTTGATCTCTCACACCCTCACTCGCTCTCTTTCACTATCTCTCCTTTTCTTCTTTTCTCTTTGGCTGTAAAATATGAAATGAAATGTGTCCCTTTTTTTGCTCTGTGTTGCATTTGTGCACTTACTGTGTCCGCTTTTCTTTCCATTTGTTTTGCTTTTCGATTTCCTCGGGTACAAATGTATTTTGCTTTGCCCACATCCCATATCTGTGCTTTGGTTGATCCGTTAACTGTTGCTGTCTCTCTCTCTCTCTCTCTCTCTCTCTGTGCGTATGCGTTTGTTGATTGTTGTTTTAAATTCAATAAATTTCAATTAACACTCAATTATTCACATTTAGTTTAAGAGTTTTGCGTTTGAAAGCATTTGAAATAACAAATTATATCGGTTCAATAATTTAGTGGAGGAATCCATTTATTTTGCTATGCACTAGAACAATAAAGGTTTCAATATATATACACACACACACTCTCTCTTTTGTACAATTCATGTTTATCATTGGCAATGAGCTGTGAATAGATAAATTGAATAAAATTGTTTGTTGGTCATTTATATCCTGGTCGCCGCACGTTTTTCGGGTGTGTCAAAATCATGTAACTCTAACTTTTGATCAATTATTCTAATTAATAATGGTTTGACCGGAATTTTTGTTTGTTTGCCATTTTTTTCGGTTTGTATTTTGACGATGAGAGAGAGAGAGAGAGAGAGAGAGAGAGAGAGAGAGAGAGAGCTAATCGTAAATCGTCCAAAATGTCTTATTTATCGTTTTACCGTTTGTGTTACAGTTATAGATCGTATTTATTTGCAACACGTTAACTACATTCACCTAGGGGCTAGGTCATTACACAGTTGAATGGAAAAGCTGGTGTTTGCGTTTATGGCCAATTGTTTCAGCCAAATTTGACAGAGATAAATATCCAAAATGCACCGTAAAAAATGCATAAATTTCGGCAGTCAAATGCAATGGACGGGGAGGGGGAAGGCAAGTCATGAAATTTGTAACAATTCATTAAAACGTGCACAACCCAATTCCAAATAGCGCGCATACACCGCGATGATAAAAGATGTGCACGTTTGAAATCGATTGAATGCACTGTATGTGTTTGTTGCTGCTGCTGCTATCGGCCTGAGAGCAATGCTGAATGTTTGTTGTTGCCGTTATTATTATCAATTGTATAACGATGAAAAGGAAGTAAATACAAGAAATCAGATAATCCTTTCATTTGTCATTTAATGTGTAAGGATCGAGTTCCGACAATGACAAGCTGCAATTGGCTTTGTTGCCCCGAATCTATTGAATGCGATTAATGTTCTCTCTCTCTCTCTCGCTCTCGCTCTCTATCTCTCTCGAGACTATTTTATCATGTGTGCGTATCTCATTCACGCTCTCCCTCTCACTCTCCTCACTTTCTTGCACTCTCTCTCTCTCTCTCTCTCACTCACTCTCACTCTTCCTCTTTCACATAAATATCGTAACACAATACATTCCCACACGATAAAACGAATATAAATATATTGTATCCATCTATTTTTAGTGTGGCTTTTTTGTTTTGAAATAAAAATAAAATAAAAATATACAAATAAAATAAAGTCAAACGAAAATAATGAAATTAAACAAGAGCGTATATATAGGACCATTATCCACACACATATATCACGGTTGAGCATAGACATACACACACATTCTCTCTCTCTCTCGCTCTCTCTCTCTCTGTTCCTCTTTCGCTCTCTCACTCTCGGCCGTTTTCCCTTTTCCACATTGTCTCATGTGTAACGGCGCATATCTCTCTCTTGTTATGTACCATGTATGGGGGGGATTGAGAGTCGAGTCGATTATCACAAGATATGCATTTAATATGAACTTTCTGAATCTCTTGATGTTGGCTGTCAAAATATGTGTATGGCAAGAGACGAGAAAGAAAAAAAAGAAAATGAATCGATGTCCCTTTTCTTTTAATTAAAAAGAAACGAAAATTTCAGTTGACTGGCGACAATGAAATTGTTTTCGAAATTTTCGGTTTTGTTTTGTTTTGCTACATTTGATGCGGAACTGATTTCGTTGCTCTTTTTTTTCTTCGTAGTTTACACTTGACTTTTCCTTGTGAGCTTATGTAGCTCGCCTAAGGACACTTTTTTAGGACGAAATACGTATTTCGTCGTCAATTTTATCTATTCACACAACAGCTTCAATACACAATTTTTAATTTAATTCACAGCTTTGATTCTGGCGTGTTTTTTTTCGGGGATGGCAAATTTTCCGAATATACAGACACAAGCACACAGGCAGGCACGCACACATACGACAACATACAGAGTAATCGAATAAACAGAACCACGGAAAAAATCGAAATCAACACTTTAACCACTAATTGCATTTTCTTCTTGTTTCATTACACAGCATTCTCGTTTGTACTCTATTACTATTTACACATTGATTTAATCAATTTGAATGCTCTTTTTCCCATTAGTTTTTTTTTTTGTTAACTTCACTAATCAATTGATTGGTACAAAAACCTCTTTACCGAAACGATAGAGAAAAAGAAGCAGAAAAATTATGATTGCATACGTACTTTTGCGAGACCGATCTCGTTTTAATGCAAGAATGTACTAATGTTGAAGTGTCGTCGAGAGTAAGCACAACAACAACAAAAACACACAAATGTATATGTATAAAGGAAGGAAATTTATCTCCTGAAAATTTTACGCAGATCCACCGAGCGCGCGAGAATATACAAAAAAAAACTCAAACAGAAAATTCGTCGAATAAAAAAATAAATAAATAAATATAAAGAACGAAAAAAAAATATTCTTTTCACTATTGAAATAAATTCACCCGTTCAACGGATTAGAATTTATTTGGATTTCGCTTTTTCGCTTTTCTTCACTGTTTTTTTCTTTTCTATCTCTATTTGCTTTTCGCTGGTTTCTCGTTTTATTTTCTGCCGTTTTTGTGTGTGCAAAGCGATATCAACATAATTCGTCGAAGGAAAACTAAAATACTAAGAGTCGCGAATGAAAAGGGCTTATTTGAGCGAGTGAACAAGAGAAGCAAAAAAAGCGAGCAAGCAGCGAAATAAACGCTGTTCTTCTTCTGTCGTCGACGTCGTCGTCGTCGTCGTCGTCAATTGGATGAAAAAGGACAGCGTTGAGAGTAGGCATGCGTTGAACAGAGAACGATGTACGTTGTTGAAATAGACGCCTTTCAAAATATTAACAATAATGAATAAAATTCTCTGTGTTTTCCTCACTGATAATACATACGTATACGCGCGCGAGACGACCGAATGAACGGAAAGAAAAGTCCTAAAGAGCTTGCGTACACATTGATTTCGGGAAAATTTTGTTCGAGCTGCTGCTTCGCGCTCGCCTGTATGTGTCTATGTATCAGTATTAGTGTGTATGTATTTGTGACAGGTTGACAATATGTGATTGTGTATGCGCCCGATTCCTGTGTTGTTCAAATGACACAAGTGTTCTACCGAGGGTTTTCACTCGTCGTTGCTGTCGCCGTCGTCGACGTTTTGCGTGAATGCGTACACGCTGCTAGCACTTTTTTTTTCATTTCTCTCTACTATTGATACATCGTCATCAGTCCCATACTTCTCTTTTCTTCTTCGTTTTTTTTACCGTTAATAATTACTTATTGAATTTCGATGTACATAAACGCTTAGGCACGTTCAGTACACAGATCGATGTAATGAAAATCGTTTGAATATCCCGACGCACGGATACTCTTTTTTCGCAATGCATTGGAAATCAATCGGTTACGTATATGATGAACTTTCTGGCTTAGCCATAGCCATTGTGAGTGTACGATTTAAATACCTTTTTAAAGTCAGACCCTTTTTTTCTGCCCAGCGACGGCTTCGTGTATACCGTTTGCAAATCAATTGATCAACTTTGAAAGCTTAACATTTGGGTGCTGTATGGATTCGTCATCGCAATTTACATGACAGAGATTTCCTAACATCTTCTCAGTTGAAACGATCAGTTCAGTGGTTGTTGTTCTTTTGTTCGGTTTTCACTATCTGTTTTTTTTTTTCAAAAATAACTGACAATTTTAACTTAATCGATTTTACTCAAAACAATAGCAATTCACACTCTTCAAACCGAACCGAGAGATGGTTGTGGTTGAATTGTTTAAATTGAGATTGACAGGTGTGGTAAAGATTAGTGGGCAATTGAAAAAGAAAAATCGAAATAACTTTGAACCATTTGATTTTGCATACATAGATTGAAAGTAAAATATGCGATGGAATGCTCGCTTATTCGAATAAACATTCAATACTCAAATGATGAATACACCGAGACGTCATTCATACTTTGCAGTCACTCAACAAAACAACAATTTGCATAGCTCCTTTGCTGTACTTTAAGTCCATTTGATTGACGTTTTTCGATGTACTTAAGCGTCGGATTTTTAGTTTTGAATGATCTGGAGCATTACACACTTTCTACTTGGTGGTCGGTCAATGTTTACCTGCAAACAAAGCTGCGAAAAGAGAAGAAAAATAACACACAATGTGTTGCTCGGTTGTTATTGTTGTTGTTAGTGGTGGTGTTGCTGCATTAAGTCATCGTTGGTTAAATTTTGCTTTATGGTGGGAATATCTCATTCAGCTCACTATTGGTTGGAGGTGAACGCGTCATGCAAACCGAACAGAAAATCAAATATGAAATTTCATATGAAGCAGTAATAGAGAAAACAAACACTTTGCACGTTGCGCTGAGACTTGCAAAAAAAAAAAAAAGATAAAACATGTAAAGAGAAAAAACACAAATTGACTATTTATTTTTGTTGTTTTCTGTTTTTTTTTTTCATTTTTGTTCATCCCGTTAACTACATTCGAACATACACGAATGGATACGAGTATTTATTGTTTGCTTGAAAAGTTCTATTGATTTTTTGATCGTTTAATATGAATCGAATACATGTTATTTTAGTCATTTTATTTGTTCACTTTCACTTACAAGGTTAGTCGGTGGTTCGGTGTTTTTTTTCACGCTTTTCTCTTTGTTTCGTTGTTCATTTAACGCAAGCAAATATGGAGGAGATTCAATTCGAACGAGAAATGGAATAAATAATCGAAAATAAATAAATAATAAATATTTCATTTCTTTCGTGTGTAGTGAATTGCGTGCAACTGGTAGCATTTGTATCACAGCATGGATTGCATGGTGAAATCCATTTTACACAGCAAAATGATAACTCCTTTGAGATTCGGTCGAAAGTTGAAACGACCCTACAATATCCGGATCAAATTTGGAGTTGGGGCATTCATGAAATGCCAACCGACTACAGAGATGTGCAGCCGAATCGACGTTGTCATCCGAACACATTGGGCAGGAAATTGATCGGTTTCGATGATCATTTGGGATATTTGCAATTACCCGGGAATGAAACGACAACTTGGCAAATTTCAGCCGAAATCAGCGGTGAGTTTGATATTTTTTTTATTTTTCAGATGGCTTTTCGGCCATTCTTTTGATTTCTCTTTCAGTCTTTTTTTTCTCTGTTGATTATCTGCAAATAACTTTCTCTATTGTGAATGAATTTTAAGTTAAATAAATCTTTTCTCTTCAGACAAAATAAGCATCTGGAGTAAGTCATTGGTGTTGCAGAATCTCGACACTGGATCGTATATTTGTGCAACGATAGCAACGATTGAAGAGAATATTGATCATTTGGCCGAAGCCAGATTCCATGGGCCCATTGCCGGTTCAATTTATTTCCATTGGCTAACCGCCAAAGATACCACTCACCGCGAAAATATGATTACTTCAAATCTTTTCCATATGGACAATATCACCGAACGTACACCAATCACCACACACTCGTGGAAAATATTCGTAACTGATATCTTCGAGACGAATGCCGAAAAATCACAAAACAATTGCAATGTATTGCAAATCATTTACGATCCACAAAATGAAGGTGTGGGCAAATCTTTGGGTGACATAGATGGTCGCGTGGGGAAAATTCAAGTTGCAACCGATGTGTATGGACACGAAGCGAAACAATTATTCCAAGACAAAGAGTTAATTCTGCTGCCAAGTGATTTAACGGGAACACATCGACAGTTATTTGTGGTGATTTACGATCATAACTACCCGACTCGGTTTTTGGCTTGTGCCAAAATTCGTAATCTGAAAACACGCATCGTGAAGTAAGTTGATGACGAGAAAAATCGCTCGTCACTTTAAGAGTTTATCGAGAAAAAAAAGAGAGTTTCCGAATGGTAAATCAAATCAAATTTCACTATTTTTTAGATCGATATTCAATTCGAATGGAGTGAAAGGTGAAGTGACGATACATCAGCGTTCGCCATATGAACCGACATGGTTGAATTTCACCGTTTCTTCAGCAAAGAATGAGCTGAGAGAGAATACCGAGTATTTGCGTGATTTGGCTGGATTTCAAATTAAAACGTTGCCACCGGATCCAACGTTGGCCAATATGAACACGTATTGCAACAGCGCTGGAGGAATTTACAATCCAACCGAAGTGGATAATAGTAAAAAACCGCCGGCCGGGTATGGTACACAGGATCAATATCCGGTTGGTGATCTGTCGGGAAAATTGCAAATGCGAAACAAAGACTATCCACACAATTATCTGTTGCCAATTACACCAGGAAATGAGCTCAACGGAATTTATTGGGATTTATTCCTACCGATACAGGGCATGTACAGTGTGGTGCATCGCGGTTTGGCCATTGAACGATACAATCGAACTGATGCAGCGAATACAACAACGGCCAATTGGGCGTGTGGCACATTGACACTGTACCAAGAAAATCGACAGTATCAAATGCCAATGACCACGGCCCAAGTTCTTTTCCGCTATCCCATTGTTGGTAAAATTCTATTCCGGCAACCACGAGATGATCCACTGCATGACACTACCATTATTATTGAGTAAGGAATTGAACAAGAAAAATACTTTTTAACCAATTCTCATTCGAAAAAAAAAATCCAAAAAATTTCTCATAAATCAATTAGGTATCTAATTCATGCTGATGGAGCAAGTACGAATACAAGTCAGTCTCATCGCTGGGCAATCCATAGCAATCCACCTGGTAAAGACTTTTATGACTGGCAAAATCGATGTGCAAGTACAAATCAAGTACACAATCCCTATAAGGTATTAATGTTTACTCTTTTTGTTTCAACCTTTTCTACTCAACGTCGTAACGTGCCCTTCAGAAGAAAAAAACACAAACAACAAGTTCTTTACAAAAGTTTCCAAATAATTTTGTTTATTTGCTTTAAACCGCTTGCAGGTGGCATTTGATCCAGACAATCCATCTCGCACATGTTCCAACGAGCATCCGGCTAGTTGTCGTTTGGGTGATTTGAACCATCGCATTGGATCGCTCACAATTGCTGGCAGTAAAAAAGATAGAACATTAACTCGTTCCGTTTTCACGGATGCTGGGCTTCCGCTCAGTGGTTATTACAGTATATTTGGAAAGTCTCTCGTGATTTATGATGATTTCGGACCAAAAGCACGCGGTGAACGATTAGCTTGTTCAATGTAAATTAAAATTTTTCTCTTAAAATATTCGTTCTTATCTTTTTTTGTCTAAATTTTATTACAAAGAATTTGTTTTCTGCATCAATTTTTAGAATCGAACGTCATTTCCCGCGAAAGGTAGTGGCAAGCGATTGGTATGGCAATGGTATTACGATAAGTGTCAAAGGGAAAATTGAACTATACCAACAGTCTGAATATGAAATCACAAATATTGATGTTCTCTTGAAGGGATTGAATGAAACGAGTGGCTATCATATCCATGAGGCATCGATTCAAGAGAATTTATTGTTCCCATGCGAAGCGTCCACCATTTATGATCATTGGAATCCACGCGGTGTGAATCCGAAAACTTCACCAATGCCACGCGAAGGTTCGACGGATCTCTATGAAATGGGCGATCTGAGTGGCAAATTCGGTACGCTAGACCATTTGTCAGAGTATATGGCTAGTTTTAATGACACAAACATTCCATTGTTTGGGTATGAAACGGTTTTGGGGCGATCGGTTGTTATTCATAAAAAATCGAAAAATGTCCGATGGGCGTGTAGCACTCTAGAACGCGGTTACAGTCCACATGAATCCAGAGAAATTCGAGCGATTGCATCATTTCATCATCCCAAAGGATATGCATACGGTTACATGAGATTCACACAGTTGATTCACAATGATGGCAGCAAAAGTGATACTACCATCGAAGTTAAATTGAGACATCCAGGAGAAAATGACCGGAATATGGTTAGAGTGGTTATTTGTTAAATTTTCGCATGAACATAACTACGTGGAATGAATTACCTTTGTAGACTAAAGATGCATACGGATTAAATTTTGGTAATTTCTAATTCAAACAGACACGGCATCATCATTGGAAAATCTTTGTCAATCCAGTTGGTGTGGATGCCGTTGTACAGCAAACTATTACGAGATGCGTCGCTGGCGGTTACACATGGAATCCATACTACACTCAATTGGCTGATCCACTCAACGTACGACATTTTATACCTATTTTAATATTACTCGTCGTGTGAAATGGTTTTATTCATTTGTATTTTAACGCTCTTTTCAGACCCAACTCTATGAAGAAGAATGTGGCGCTGACAATCCATTGCGATGCTATGTTGGAGATATCTCCTTGCGCACCAGTACTATCGGTATTGTCTTGCATAAAACTATATTTATTAGGTTGAAGCTTAATCTCCATTGATTCTCAGTTTTTCATACATTCAATTTTCATTACTTTAACTTTTACTTTTTTCAAAGGCTTGAATTTATACTTTTCTTCATTTCTCTTCTCTTTTTATCTATATTTTGATATGAATGATTCATTCATCGCCCATTTTATTGACTAATAATTTGTTGATTCATGTGTTTATTTCTATTGATTGTTCAACAGATATTGGTGATAAGCGTGTAATATTCTCGGATCAAAATTTGCCACTGGAAGGTGTACAAAGTGCGCTGGGCCGATCGATCGTTTTATTCGGCCCGAACTATTCATATGAACGATTTGCTTGTGCAAACATCGAACCAGATCACGATATCATCAAATATGTGAATCTGCAGCGCCCGCCAAAATTTGTTGTGTAAGACATTTTAAAATATGTTAATTTAATTCCAAATTCCATTAATCGAATAACATTGTTGTATTGATTCCTAATTATTTCATTTGTTTCGTACATTTTAGTGCTCAATTCATGGAAGAAGTGAGACAAGTGATGGGAGTGCCTGAATGGTTTTTAAGTGTTGATTCGCGTAAAATCACCCTATTGCATGGTGGTGCTTGTGTTCAAATGTTGATCCATTTCAAAGGGCCGTTGGCTCATCAAATGGAATTGGATCTATCACGTTTGATAGCCGGCGGCAAACTTGATTCACCAACTCTGAACATTCACGGGTATGCCAGTACAAAGCGAAAGAAAGTCTTGGCATATCGAGTTTGTGGTGTGCGTGATCCAAATGAAAAAAGTGGTAAGGATTTTTGTATATTTTTCCACTTTTATCTGCATCTTTGTAGCTGATGATCGTTACATGATATCATTTTCATTTACTTAACTCTCATTCTGTTTAATTTTCAGGACGGAAAAGTCGATTTGGTGGACATTTTACTAGTGGCAGTATTGCGATCGAAAGTATTTCATCGAAATTATTTCTGTTTCAGGTTACAATTTTAGTTGTTGCTCGATTTTTGTAGATAAAACGTTGTGCAATTGTTAATCATTGAATTATATGACTGAAGAAAAAAAAACTTAGTACATTATGCTGCAAATTTTTTTTATAGTCAAAACCTTTGATGAAAATGAATTTTTGTCAAATAAAACAAGTATTTAAAACCAAAATAAATTGTGTTACTTAAACGTATCTCAAAACAAAATAATTCATTTCAAATCAACCTACCCTCTCCATCATTCTCTTTGAAATTCAAACCGCTTTTTTTTATTCTAGTACTCAAGATTCACCCCTCTAATATTTAAATGCGCATATTTCATGTTTCGAAATGGTAGCCCTGTTTGTGGCGTGCGTATGGTGGTTGTACACCTGGAACACACACACACACACACACACAACTGGAGTGGAATTGTCAAAATTCGGCCCGAATGCTGAAATGCGCATGCGATGCATATGGTTCACATTACCAACACTACATACGAGATTGGAATTGATTTTTCCTTCAGTATTGTTCATTCTGTTGTTGAATTTTGGTTCCCGAGAGAAAGCAGCCGAAGATATATAATTTCATTTGAAACAAATAGAAAAAAAAAAAAAAATGATTGGTTCTTTGAGTATATTCGCATTATTGGCATCGATATCATCGATACGAGCCGCTTACAATGGACCATTCATTTTGTGGGGCCGTGACGAATTGTCACAGGCAAAAATCAATCCGATGAGTCAATTGAATGAGAAAGTTTTGCGTGATATTTATGCGGATTCATCAGCAATCATATTGTTTGTCCGTAATGCATCGAGCCATTTGAAAGAGGATAATTTTCCAATATTCAAAGATTTACTATCGAAAACTAGCTATGTGTATCTGGCTCAAGAGTATTTAGGACTAGATCCAATGGAATTTAATCTCAATGCCGAGGTGAGTGTTTTATCCTTTCGAAAAATAATATAGCTCTTCAGAGATTTCTTTTGTCTTAACAAAAGTTTTGTTTTGCCAATTTGACTAATCGTGATTTTTAACCATTCAGGTAATCAATTTGGTTGGCCCCACATCACAACAAGATGTTGAACTGTCAGCATTGTATCGAGATTCGGTCATCACTTATGGCGAAGGAAAAGTGCTTGGCATTTTGGCCACCAGATCCAATGACCATGAAATTCGAAAACGAGATGCAGTTGAACCGACACCAGATAGCCCATCTACAACATTAACACCAACAACACAAGAAATCGAACAGTCCAATCAAACTGACTTCATTTACTATCCCGACGATAAAAAAACGTACAAAATTCTACTGTACACGAGCGCAGCGCCAATACTCTTTGACGGTACGAACGAAACCATTTTGAATCACAACGTACAAACTTACATAACAACTGACCACCGTAGTGCAAACGAAAACAAAGAAGAACAACGTACGCTCGTAGTGCGGTATAATTACAAAGACAAGGTGAGGAGTTTTTTTTTCAAAATGATTTCAAAATGATTTCAATGTCGCGATTTCTTCCCAGTCTTGATATTTCGATTTTTTTCATCCGTTGGAAATTACATTGTTTATTTCAACCAATTTTTCATTCACAAATCCAAGATTTTTGTGTTTTTTTTTTGATAATACGCTGGAGAAAAAAAATACTATGATGTTGAAAGTAATTGTGATTTTTTGCCACTTTCCAGTTGACGATTGAATATGTGTTCAACATTTCTGTTGGCTACTGGACACTAATAGGTGCTGATATTGACTGGCTGAAGATTACTAGCAACAATACTCTCAACTTGGTTGATGATCGACCATCTGCACCATTGACATTTTCCTACCAATGCTCCAGACCACTTTTTTTCCGAAACGGTAACATCTATTTGAAATTGGCCAATATTCAGGTAATTGGATGCACCTTCTTCCATATCTAAAAGTGTTGGCCATGCTTTGGCATTGTGCCCCAATTTCAAATTATCATTGGGTTTATTTCGTCGATTTAAGCTAAAAATGGCTATGATAAAATTAATTTTTCGGTGAATTTGATCCTTGCAAAAATGTTTGTTCAGTTTTAATAGTTTGCAAAGTAGAAGCAATATATAAAATATAGTTAGATTCAATTGAATTTATCCAAAAATATCTTTCCTATCATGAAGAACGGCACGTTTTGAATTGAAGCGCAACGCTTCCTAAAATGCTTCATTTTTTTTTTATCAAGAAGACTCTTATCAATTCATTCTGACTGAAAATGTGATTTATTTATGAATTTCAGGTGCAAGTGGAAGTAAATGCGAGACGCTTCAATGATTCATACTATTGTATTGGTTTTACGTCGGCACCGATTTGGTCGGGTGTGGTGATAAGTTTTATTCTATGCTTTGCCGTAGCACTTGGACTCAATTGTATCATGGAAATTAAGGCACCGTCTCGTTTCGAGAACAGCCGGGGCAAGCAACTTACATTCACCGTTCAAGAATAAGCACAAGCAATGAAGAAAAAAATTAAACAAACTACGATTTAATTTAAACAAATTACGATTTTTTTGAAACAGTTTATTTTTTCGATGGCAACCGAAGAGACATCACGTTTTTAGTATTGATTTTTCTGAAAAGTTCTGACACAGAACGCACGATTTGGTTATCAATTTGGTGCTAGACATATGGAGGTTGAATATTTGCATAAAAAGGGAGCAACAATTGTTTGCAACTTTGCATGGAGTGACCAATGTTCAAACTTGTAAAGCTCATCATCAATTCTTGGTCAATACTGTGGAAGTTGTTAATTTTGTTTGCGTTCTGCTGGGAGATACTCATAATTTAAAAGAAGAAAAAAACTTGGTTTTAAACCATCAACCAATCATGACGCATTTTGAACAGAAAAAAATCATAATCTCGATACATTCACCAAAGATAGAATATTTCACACATAATCGAAAAAATGCATTCGTGTTCAGCCCCTTCGCTCCATGCAGAAAATAAAGAAAACAAAGTCGTGATTTTTGTTGCATGTTTTAGATTTTACTCTTTTCCTTGGAGTCAGTTAGCAAATGCAGTGTGAAACCAAAATATATATATATATATAATATATATATAATAAAAATAATGGAAAAACGTATATAAAATTGCTTTGATTTTAAGCTTATCACATTTATTCTGTTAATATTCAAATGTTATTTTGTCTTTTGTGCGTTTCGTTCCAACCATTTTTCATTTCACAATTAAAAGAAAAAGCACTATATATCAGTTTTTGGAAGAAGAACAAATAAAAAACTCACATACACACAAATATATCATCCGAACGTGAAAAGTATAGTTTTGACGATTGCAATTATTTAATTTTTGAATTAATTCCATGGTTCATCTGTGTGGACAACGAAAAAAAACAAATCTTATTAAAAAATAATCTTATTTTTAAAAATTGAATGTAAAGGGTTTTCAATTTCCTACTAAAATTGTTTTTACATATAATTCAAATTTGATTATTTTTACTTTGGATGTTTTGAAGGAAAAAAACGATGTACATACCCTGGAGCTGCTTGATCATTAAATGGAATGCGATTCGAAAAAAAGCAATTCAATTCACTGAATATATTGCTTAATTTGCGGTTTTTCTTGTTTGCTTCACGTTTTTTGGTTTTTCCAATCACATGAACTGGAATGACGCCACAGTTTCTTCTCGAATATGAATATGAATATGATGAAATCAAGCTCGTGCTTCATTAGGAAATCATCTACCAGAAAACAACCTCGATCATGTTCAAGTCCGTTCATTTTAAATCGGGACACAGATCGGAATCAAATCAGATTTTGCGCATTTAAATAATGGTTTGACAACAACAGCCAGCTGTTGTGTCCAAACGACATCGACATAAAGATAATTTGATCACTAATTATAATTAATAGTCTGAATTAGAATCTCTAACCCATTGATTTGGAGATAACTTTCAGCCAAAAAAAAAACGCTTCATTTGCGAATGTGAATCATAAAGATCGAAAAAGTCGTTTTAACCGAATGAAACCGCGTTCATTGATCGCTTTTACAATGAGTTTATAAACACACACAAAAAACGACCGAATAATAATTAATTGATGGCTATACGTCGCCAGTGAAAAAAGAAGTGTAAGAAGAAGGTGGTTTGGGGCATTAAAGGCGAAACGATGATACCATAATGATACCGTTATGATTGCATGCATCCGGGCTGCATATCTCGCCGACAAAGCAACAAAATATACCGGCGGATTGAGCCATTTTTTTTCGTGGAGTTGAAAACAACTTTTTTTTTTGGTTCATCATCGCTTAGAAAATTACATGTTTTGGCAACAACTCACGAGAGTTGATGAAAAACGATGGTTTTCGAAACAAGCGTTAAACGTAAACGCGTTTTTTTTTCGAAATCGGGGCCAAATCTTCTGCGGTACTAGAATGACTCCATTTTAGCATGTATTTCGCAAACATTTAATTGATGAGCCAAATTTAACGAGCCCGTGTGTGTTGGTGTGTTGAGCAGCAGCAGCAGATTTCGAAATAGTAAACTTCTTAAATATCCGTATTCCGTATCATGGAATGTAAATTTTTCATCCGTCAATGATCAACAGGTTTGAGTTGAATACATGCGTACGCGAACCGTTTCGTTTTTTTCTCTTCGTTTTTGCCTTTCAATGCTCACGAAGTGGTTTTTAAGGAGGACGAGTGAGTGAGCGAGAGCAAAAGAGAGAGAGAGAGAGCTCTCAGAAAAGCTAACATCGATCCATTGTATGTTTTCTCCTGAAATTATTTTCAATAAAATGCGCCGAAAAAACCTTGTGTCACGTATTTACTTTTATGTCTGCTAACACAATTTGGTTTCATTTGATTAGGAAGAGTGTTGCTACAATGAATATGAATAAAAGAGCAGAGAAAAAAAAGCACGATGGATTTTTGTAAATAATACGCGTCCAATAAAACGGCTTCATTTGGGATAAATAAACATCTCCTATATTGCCTCATTTACCAATTCGCAGTATTGTTAGGGTCTCTCTCTCTCTCTCTCTCTCTCTCTCTCTCTCTCTCTCTCTTTCTATCTCTCTCTCTCTCTCTCTCTCTCTCTCTCAATAAATTAATTTGGCGAAAATCCGAAAATCAATTCTTTTCTTTCTGTTGGAACCCAGTGTGTTCTGTTCGGTTCGCTCTCTTTCGCTCACACACACAGCATGCACAGCACATGCGTACAGTTCGATACAAATGGGGTGACGTAAAAGGAATCATGTCTTGTCATTGGTCAGCGAGTATTCGCGCCTCTTCATATTTGTTCTGCTTCTACTTACTTTTTTGTTGGTCGAATGATAATAGGTAGAAGGTATCACATCGTGTGTGCGAGAGAAGAGAGAACGAAGAATAAGAAACGGCTGCCGCGAGACGCTAATCACATTAAGTATACAATTTCTGGTTTCTTCGCATTTCAAATTATTAACCCGAGAGTCACAAAATTTGGCCGAAGTGTTGTTCTTGTGTATGCCACCACATCGTTTCTTCTTATAATTTTTTTTAGCTCTGTTAGTGGTGTGTCTGAGACCGAATATGTGAGATTTACAATACAGTTAACACAGTGCATATAATATCTATATTTGATTGGATGTTCTTTTCCGTTGAGTGCATAAGAGACAGCGAAAAAAAGCACGCGATGAAGGAACGAGATGATTAGCAATTATCGCGAATGTTAATTTAATTCGTTGATTTTATTATGTGGCCATTTATATGAGAAACTTCTCTCGACAACTGTGTCGCTGTGTGTATTAATCGAGTGCATCCTTTTGAATGAGTGAAAGAACCGTAGATGAGAAAGAAAAAACTCGAGATGAAATATAACCACACACTTGATAGGGATGAATTCACGTGCTCTCATCGGCCACCTAATGTCACATTCACTGTCAAAACCAGTTGATGATTCCATTGAACCCAAATAAATGCCATTCTTGAAATTGCACCAATTGTTTTCTGGCAACTTTTTTTTTGTCTCTCTGTCATATAAATTTTTGCGATTTTTTTTCCTTTCTTTTTGGAAAAAACATTGTCATCATTTTTTTTTCATTCATAATCGGTTGAATTTTCTGTTGAAGAGTAAATTCGTAATGAGTTTTTTTGTTGAAAAAGAGTAATTTCTGTTTGAGGGCAAATTTTAATATTATCCTAGTTTTTCTATTTCGATATTTTCATTTGTTTTTCTTCTCAGAATTTCCGGTTTGCTTAAAATTGCCTGAAAAACAAGCGACCGATATGAAAAAAAAACCAATTAATTCCATTTCACTGTCGGAATGTATATGACAAACCCCCGCAAAAAGAACTGATCCAATTCAGTTATTGATATTGTGAATGTGATTACGATGATTCCATCGATTCCAAAACAGCTGCCTGAAATGGTTGACATTGATATGATATAAGAATCGCATTTCACATGAGTTTGGAATTCACATGCATCGAAAATAGCGAATAAACAGACGAGGCGAAATAAAAGAAGCGTGAATGACTTACGCTTTCTTCAAATGCTTGAATAAATATTTAGAATACGAGAGAGAGATAGAAAGAGAGAGAGAGAGAGAGAGAGAGAGAGAGTGAGAGAGAGAGTGAGAGAGTAAATTTCAGTATAATCACATTTTCTAAATAACAAGTCACGACAAGTGATATGGGCAATACAAAGTATTACGGTTTTGTGTGTTGGGTAATCAAACAGACAAGTAAAAACAAAAGACACAACAGCAGCAGCGACGGCGGCGGCGGCAACAGCCGAAGTAGTAGCACACATCGTGTTACACATCCATATAACAGGCAGGCAGAACGCACGATTCAATCGCACAAGAAGAGCAAAGAGACAAAAAAAAACAAAATAAAACCAAACCGAACAAAAAACAACCAACCGTATATACCCTGTTAGATAGATGAAAGATCAGAAGCTATACAAAAGCAAGCGAAAAGAAGAAAAAAATCGCACACAATACGTGAACTCGAAACAGCTCAACCAAAAGGTTTTCAGTCTGCTTTCAACTGTCGTGAGAAACGGGTATTGAGTGTGTGTTGTGTGTGTTTTGTCTGAGCCACCTTTGAAATTATGTGATGATCGATGTCAACGTAAAATTTTTCGTTGTTATTTGCCTGTAGAAATCATTTCGTTTTTCTTTCGATGCATTAGTTTGTGTGTTTGAATTGAATACGTGAAGGATATTTAATGTTTTTTTTTGTTGGTTAAATATTCAATCCGATCTTTTTGTGAGTCCAAACATTCAATGATCCTGTGATTTAACGCCAAATTCTTTCTTGTTCAGTTCGACGACGACGAACGGCAGCAATTCACACGCAAAAGAACTGATCGTACAAAAGTGTTCAACATTGCAATTGAAAACATATCGTGAAACGAAAAAGCAACCATTCATAGTTTAACCAAAAGAAGAAGGGAAAAAAATGAGGAAAAGTGCTAGCAATAATAAATGCTCATTCCAGCCGATAACATTGTAATCAATTAAGTAGACGATACGAAAAGGATAGTAAATCTGTGTGCTGTGCAGTATCGAAAAATTCGATTTGATTAAATACAAATTAATTGGTAAAGATCGTTTCGTTATTATTGAAATCATCGATTCGATTGCTATAATCGGTTGTTGAAAAAACAAACAACGAATTGAAATCTGAGTGGCGCAAAGAGAAATTAAAAAAAAAAAGTTCGTTGAAAATGAAACGTGATGGATCAGAGAAAAAAAGTGCGGTCGGCTCGATCGATGAGAATGTGCCACTGGAATCGGGCAATGGCAATCAGGAGGCGAGCACACCATCGCAAAATGGCACCGCCGATGCCGATGGTGATGTTGGGCTAAAGGCAAAAATGAGCCTTTTGAACGGTTGCACTGTCATCGTCGGATCAATCATAGGCTCGGGCATTTTCGTATCACCCACCGGCGTTTTGATGCACACCGGCAGTGTTAATATGGCGCTCATCGTATGGATAATTTCGGGCCTTTTCTCTATGGTAAGCATAATGAACATGAATTATTTCCTTTTCCACTTGAACCTTGACTTGATTTGGAGAAAAAAAAGAGCACAAAGTTGTTTCTCATTTGAGAAAAAGAATACAAAGTAAAATGGTCAACCAAATCCTTGATAATTGTTCAACGATTCCCTGATAAGAGACAGAAAAATGTTTGAAATCGCTTAGAAAAATGCGGGTAAAAGAAAGAAGACTCATGTAAACAACCGCACATAATAGCCAGTAATGATTTTGCACATTTGCCAATATCCCTGTGAGTCGAAGTCCATCGCAGAAACTAATGAAAACAAGCTGTTTCAGTTTCACCGTTCCTATGGAAAAATGTTTCCTATTCTATCATTGAAAGGCATGAAGTGTTTTTTTTTTGTCCGTTTCGACTTTGAATGTTTGCCCTTCGCCAAGTGCGAAAAAGGGAGCAAGAAAGGCAAGGAGAGAAGGAGAAAGAAAGAGACTCTCTCAGTTTGTTCACAGGGGATTAAAATTCCTTGAAACATCTGTCTAGCTCACGACAAAGGATTTGTCGGTTTTTTCTCAATCCCCTAGGCATTCATATTGTAATTAAGAATATTGTTTTGTCGCTGCACTCTTCTTGGAGATGGAGTGTTGTTTTTTTTCACTCAGTCGCTCGTTTTCATCGGCATATTGGCTTTGTGTTTTTCCACGTGCAACTAGCTAATGATTACTTTATTGAAAGTCTCAAGTGTACCGAAAGGCGTTTTTCTTCTACTTTTGAATGAGCAAAAAAAAACAACTAACTCAATGGCAAAATCAAGCGGACGCCATCCGTTCTGATTTTGATTGAGTATATAGATGTTATTTCGTTGATTCATATTTTTCGCTGAACAAATTATAATCCTCTATTAAAGTTGATAAGTGAACGAATTGGAGAGATAGCTGATTGTAATCATTATTCGCCTTTTAATTAGGTTGGAGCATACTGTTATGCAGAGTTGGGAACAATGATTCGCAAATCGGGAGCTGATTATGCCTACATTATGGAAACATTTGGCCCATTCATGGCATTCATTCGTTTGTGGATTGAATGTATGATTGTTCGGCCCTGTTCACAAGCAATTGTTGCGCTCACATTCAGTACATATGTCCTGAAGCCATTCTTTCCGGATTGTGCACCACCCGAAGATTCAGCCCGTCTATTGGCCGTCTGCTGTATCAGTAAGTACAACATGAAGCAAGTGAAGCAGAGATTTACCTCATAATATAATAGCATGATCAATACGCTGGAATCACGCAAAGAACACATTGATTTCAAGTGCAACCGTTTGTTTTCTTTTTATCTGCCACTCAAGCAATATAACTTAGGTAAACGATTTTGGTTTTGAATAGGCAAAAGAATGTTTTTTTTCCCGGCAGGTACTGTCGCATTAGCAAAATGCCATTGTACAACATTCGCTGAGATTTCCAATCATTCAATCTTTTTGGATTAAAACATCGAAAATGTTTTTGATTTCAAAAAGCAATGACTGATTAACAATCGGTGATTATCATATGCAGCACTGAGATGCTCTTTATTTTCGAAATGTGTGTTTGCGTTAATTCTGTCGTCAATTTGGTTTTGAGTGATAAGGAAATGACCAATATCATATTCGATGCTTATAACAATGTGTGCGTTTACTATCAAATTCATGAATATACAAACATTCTGGAAATTGAGTTTTCAGCACAATCAACCTAATATACAACAATTAACCCTTAATCGATAGCGACTTTCTGTTAGAGAGTGAACTGTTTATGAATGCAATAACGTGATTATTCAGCGTAGAAGATTCAGATGCGACACATTCTTGTAATTCATATTCTAAACTCCATAAATGCTTATTGAAACAAAAACGTTTGGTTATTCCATTTTCTACTAACTCTAAATGTGAAAACAATTTCGATATTTAAATTGAAATCGTCGAATCATTTCGAAATTTGAAATTCAAACTCGCCGCCTGACTGAATTTGCAAAACAAAAACCTAACTCGTACGGTGCACATTTTTGGGTTGAGCTCAAAATTTAAGTTGATAAATCCTCTAATTTATGATTTAAATGACATACAATGGTGACAGTACTAATGTAACTATTTGCAAGCTTAAAATAGTTGAATATTTATTCTACAAGGCTGTATTACGCAAATGACCCAACGAAAATATTATCGTTTGATTCATGGCAGAAAAAATCCAACAAACTTTCGTTTTAAATTCGAAATGCATCAAATTTCAAAAATTCTGCGAAACATTTCAACGGATGCGGTTTTATCGATTACTCGTGGGTGATAATACTTTTAGACTGAATGATTGTCTAACAAATGAACCGCCCTTTCCCAAGCATTTCGCCATTCGATATCAAATTACTTGGAATACTTAGTTGCATCACACATTCAAACACATTTGAATCAAATAGAAGAAATGATTCGACATCGCCTACTAATAGAAACTCGCTCACGAATAGAAATGCTTCAATACCAGTTAGAAAATGCGTTTTTTTTACACTCGAACACAATGAAAAAAAAAAATTATTTTCGAAATATATTATTATTTTAATATTTAAGTGATCGCCACTAATTCAGTGCAAATATTTGCAAAGTTGAGCAATTTATTTCAGTAAATATTGTGCAATTATTACGAAATTTGTCATCATCGATGGTTGAGAAGAGAAAAAAAAATACACACATTTCTCGATCGATCAGTTCATTCAGCTTCACTTGTTTAAACATCAATATCGTAACGGTATCGACCGAATGTGGCGCATTCAGCTGAAGCATACACGTATGCGATAATCAAACAGATAACAGAATCTTGAGTGATCCAAGTTAAACCTTATTTATCGGAGATGTACATTTTATGGCTTAAAAATAAATAAATAATCGTTTTCGTAATCCATGAAAAAAAATGCTTGAACTTGATTTGCGAAAAGAGATATTCAACAAATCGATTGAACAACGACTTTGACATATTAAATAATGTCATCAATATGAGGCTACACAAGAGTCTTAAGTCAATCCAATTGGCAATTGAAATGAAAATAGAAATTAAACATGTTATTTGTTGGAAATGGAATTGAATCAGTGTCATTTTGAGTGTAATGGTAGAAGCATCCAATTTTTAGGCATTTGTCTTTTTGATCACAATGTTGCATGTGAAGCTTTAATCTTTCTATCAAAAATATCAAATGATCGTCGAATGATCATTACATTTTTTTTAAAAGCAAGTAAGCAACGAGTAGGCAAGTGTAAGATTAGTCTCGATCTATAGATGAATTTAGATGTTCTTATAAGATCATTCTCTAAACACAGCCTTATTAATTGTGAGTGATGTCACAGCGTATTAAACGTGTCAAGTAAACATGGGTATAATTGTAAGTAAATCTGTGATTCCATTGATATTAATGCAAAAAAAAATCTGTTTGTATCTATTTCGTTTCAGTGGTTTTGACATTTGTCAATTGTTGGGATGTAAAATGGGCAACAAATGTGCAGGATATATTCACGTACGCCAAACTGTTTGCACTGTTTTTGATCATCGGTTTCGGTGGCTATCTTCTATGTCAGGGTAAGAATACACATAATAAAATTGATACCATTTATCCGACAACTTAATCTGTTGGTGGTTTGGTTAAATTGAATTGAGCAACAACGCAAAATTATCGTAACGCAAACATTCTGCAAATCAGCAATACACGCACGCACATCACATATTGTGCGCATCGAAATGCGACTCAAACAACTTGAGCAGCACCGAGAGAGAGAAGAAAAAAAAACGCCACTATTTGCTATTGAAGTTAATCACGGTAATTTATTTTCAATAAGCAGCTAGACACAGAAGATGAAGACGAACAGAATGGATTAAATTAGCACTTCCGCTTGATAAGATGAGAAGAGTAAACAGCGAAACTCATATTACGAATTTGACACGAAAGAAAGAAGAAAGAAAGAATAACAGAGAGAGAGAGAGATAGATGAGTTTGTGTGCGTGCTCGTAGATTAATCGGAGACTCGAAGACTCGAATTCATGGCAATAACGACCTTTTCAACGCGAAAAAGGCTTGTTAAAATTGATTATTATCAATTTTAGTCGAGTGTAAAGACGAAACCACAAAGTCGCTTAGCGCGCTTAACTCATATGTGGGGGCGATACGCAATGATTCATCAGTATTACCATAGTTTCTTACATATTCTTCGTTCGAAATGAAATCAAAGTCTTTTCAATGGATTTACTCCTTAAGCATCGCCGATTTTAATTAGTATTTAACATTCTTAGCGAAAGAATAAAAAAAAACTTATCCATATTTTATACTCGTTTGGTAGGCAACGTAAAATACTTTACATTCGACAATACAAAGACCGAAGTTACGTCGCTGGCGCTATCGTTCTACTCCGGCCTCTTTGCATACAATGGATGGTAAGCCAAGCATGGAATCCAATCCATGAATCATTTATAATTAACTCGCTCAATTTTCTCTCTCAAACATACATCATTTATAATTTATAATTTACTCTCTCTCTCTCTCTCTCTCTCTCTCTCTCTCTCTCTCTCTCTCTCTCTCTCTCTCTCTCTCTCTCTCTTTCCGTCGTTGTGCCTTGTTTCCATCCGACAACACAGGAATTATTTGAACTTCATTATCGAAGAACTGATCGATCCAGTGAAAAATTTACCTCGTGCCATCGCTATATCATGTACCTTAGTGACCATTGTTTATGTGCTAGCCAATGTGTCTTTCTACACCATTTTATCGCCGGATGAAGTGCTCGGTTCGAGTGCCGTGGCGGTTACATTTGCTGAACGCGCATTCGGAATGTTTGCTTGGACGATCCCAGGTATTTTTTATTTATTTTTTTCAGGTTTTAAATTATAAATTTAAGAAAAAAAGAAAATACAAGATAAACGCAAATACACAGAATGCAATTAAAACATTCTCTAATCATCAGCGAACATGTGTTGTCGATCAACAAGTAATTACATATAAATTGACATTATCTCGTGTGCGGAAAAGGAGGCACAGTGACGATCAATAATACGGCTATCATCAATTAAATTTCTCTTTTTTTTTCTCACTACATTTCCATTCTCACTCCATTAAGAGAGACATTCTCCATTATATGTCAAATGAAAATTCAATAGAGATGCTGGTATAAATCAATCGAGTTTTGATTTATTTGCTCACTTAATTCGAATAACGACATTAAACAAACTATTTCGATGCAACTCTCTTGTCTCATTCGTCGTTATTCATGATTGAGAATATTCTTCGAGAAGAGCATCTTGCAACAGAATGCAGACTAAATGGAAAAAGATAAAGAATGCAGTTGAGAGCAAATGCATTTTAGTTGTCAGAGTGAATGACAGAGACTGATAGGGGGATGCTACTTCCACTGACAGGAATTGTTTTTTTCTTTACATTTTGCAACGAACTAGATTAATTCTAATCAAAACAACCGTTTGAGATGATCGTTTCGAAAATTCTGAACCAAAATGAATAGTTGATTTGCGATTAAATCCAATATTTCAACATGTTTGTCCACATTTGGTTTCCTTCTACTAAATGAATGGCCAAAATAGTTCACTGTCCTCAGTCAGTGATATCGATGGTAGCTCTCTTGATCATCCGCACATTTCCTGAATTACGGCCATAAAACAACAATTGAGCACACGCAAAAAGCGTTATCTACCCTTGACATTTACACTATGATAACACTGTTATTTTAATAATAATTGCCGATATTTATTTTCATTTGTAATTCCTGTAGTATTTGTCGCATTGTCAACGTTCGGTGCAGTGAATGGCATTTTATTGACATCATCAAGACTGTTTTATGCTGGTGCATGCGAAGGTCAAATGCCCGAGATCCTGACAATGATCCAAATACAACGTTTTACACCGACACCGGCTGTTCTTGCCATGGCACTGCTATCGATGCTTTATCTCACCGTTTCCGATATATTTGCATTGATCAACTATGTTGGATTTGCCACTTGGGTAAGACGCATTTCAAATCGAAATTGTGACAATCATTTTGTTTTTTATTCGGTGTTCTTATATTGCAGTTTTTTTTCATTCTCTTTTCAATGTAGTTGAGTATTGGTGCGGCTGTTTTGTGCTTGCCATGGTTGCGATGGGCTCAACCGAATCTGCCACGACCGATCAAAGTTAATTTGGCATTCCCAATATTCTACTTGATTGCAACTGCATTTGTAACCATTGTTCCAATGATTGCAAGCCCCGTTGAGACTGGATATGGTTTACTCATGATTTTGTCTAGCATCCCCGTTTACTTGGTGTTCATCGCTTGGAAAAACAAACCAAAGTGGTTCCAGAACGGAATGAGTGAGTACAATTTTTTTTCAATGCTTGGAGAATTTAACGCTTCTTTTTCTTCATTATTATTTTAATTCTATCTTTCAAATGAATTTTTATTTAAATGAAATACTCCCCATTTTTAAACGCCGTTTTAAACGTGAGATACATTAATGCTTTTAGGTGGATTAACGCAAACGCTACAAAAAATGATGTTGGTTGTTCGCCCGAAAATGAATCAAGCGAAGGTTTTTGTTCAGTTTGTTTTTCCTTTATATTTTATTTTGCACTTCTATCTTTAACACCTATTCTATCAATGACTTTCATTCTGATATTACATATATATTGCACGTGTTTTCGTAAGAACGTGACGGCACATTCACGTGCACTGATCTCATAGTGATAATATAATATATAGTATGCACGAATTTAGCACGAATTAACTTCATACTTACGATATTTTATCCAATTTTAACATTCCTTGAGAAGTTCTTATTCAAAGAAAAAAAAAACGTTTTTCTGCCATTTTTTTTAAATTATTCCAATGAATTTTATTATATTTTCATAATGTTCAACCACTGTTAACATGTGGAAGAAACAGATTTTTCGTTCTTTGATAGTCAATAATAAAGTCAAGTATAAAGTGATCAATCTTTAATATGAATAGTTAGCAGATTCGCTTTTTCCTAAAGTTCTTTTGCGACTCTTGTGTTTTTCTCCCAATCAACGATAAGTCTTTCAATTCGAATCGATTATTTCGTCAATTATTCTGATCATTTTAAAGTCGTAAATACTTTTAAGTGCATTCAGTGCTAATTAATTTCAAAAAATGGTCTTAAGATAAAAACTCTTTGGAATGACTAAGAGTATAGGTTTTAGTTCAACATCCGAATAATATATGAACCGTCGAGAATAAGAGCCAGCCACTTGGCTTCTAGCGATCTGATTCGAAAATCAGATCTTGAATATCTTCATCAAAAAGTAGCAAATAACGTCGCATGAAAAATAGAGTAACCTTGTAAATTGATTTTGATCCTAAAAATGTACATATAGGTATATGGACTGGTAAATTGTTCAAGAGCACAGATGAGTCATTATGCAGGGTATAAAAAAGCAAGCAGTAGCAGCAGCTCCGACAATACGATAGCGTCCTTTATACACAAATACGAGCCATTTATTTAGTATTTATTGCAGGGCCAGTATTTATTACAAATCATCTGAGAGCGCTAGCGTCCAAAGAGCGCCACAATTCGGGAGCCCACGAACAAGTTTTTTCGGTAAAACATACAACAATTGCCTATTCGTGAGCTTCCAAATTATTGCGCTCTTTGGATGCTTGTGCCCTATTTTAATTGTTTGCATATAGCACTGGAACGCCTTTTTTGCTCGTTTGATTATGAAAATTTGCTGAAAAATTTTCTTTTCTACATGGGCGCTCTCGCTCAGAGACTTTGCTATCCTGACACGAAGCTGTGTAATGAACAATGCAGGCCCAGAAATTGAAATAAAAGATCATTTCTAGTGCACATAGAAAATTTGCACAAGAGGAGTGAAAAAAGGCACCGCAGATGACTCCTATGTGATAACAAACATCAGATTCTCAGTAATGTGGTCATAAATCAGTAATTTAATTTGAATAGAAATAAGGAGTAATTGTATTCACCAAAATAGAGAAATACTCTATGTATTTTGTTGACGATTGTAGCAAAGTATATCAATAGCGCCGCATTCTATAGTAGTCATAACTGTAAACAGTATACACTGTGACCGATATAGGAGTTCGTGTGTTATTTTTAGTTCAACTTCTTACTATATGCGGCGCTGGAGTCAAGTGTCAAAAAATTATTCGTCCAGCTAACAGGCATTGAACATTGCTATAGCATATGTGCTAGGTAGTTCTGTTACGGCCAATTTATGTTGTTCGGGATAAATTTAATCCGAGGGGTAAAATGGATTGTCGTCAGAAGACCAAATTTTTCGATAAAATTTATACTTATCACATAGGAAATTGATGCTTAACTCCATTCAAAATAAAGTATTTCAAATATTTTTTCAAACCAAGATATTTGAAAAAAAAACTATCCCGAGGGATAAAAATCCGAGAGGTAACAAAAAATGTATGACCCAAAAATACAATATTTGCACTGAAACTTCAATTTGTTGCTTAAATTCGCTGCTTTTTCTTCATAAATTTTGATATTAAAAACATTTTGAATCAATTTTTGATTAAAATAAAAATCACGCTTCATCACCTTGTTATAAAATTTACCACGAGCTGGAACTCTTGGTAAAAATCCAAGGGGTAAAAAAATGTAAAAATTATTTTAATCGAAAACTGATTCGAAATGTCATTATTATCAGAATTTATGACGAGAAAGCGGAGAATTTAAGCAAAAAATTGAATTTTCGGTGCAAATATTGTATTTTTCGGTCATACATTTTTTGTTACCTCTCGGATTTTTACCCTTCGGGATAATTTTTTTTTTCAAATGTCTTGGTGTGAAAAAATATTTGAAATACTTTTAACATTATTAATAGCCGGAATGGAGTTTAGCATCAATTTCTCATCGAGAAATCATTTATCGAAAAATTTGGTCTTCTGACGAAAATCCATTTTACACCTCGGATTAAATTTATTCTAAACAACATAAATTGGCCGTTATTTACCAATAGCAACCAGGAAGTAATAAATAAATTTCAATCATAAAAACTCACAGCTGAACCGTGTAAAGTCAAAAATGCTAAGTTCAGCCTCTTGTTCTCGACAGTTTACATATTTATCTATTCTATCACATGATGAGATTTGATTGTAGGTTTTGCACATGGTTTTGCTTTTCAATTTCAAATATTAGATTAGTTTCAATAAATTGAATAGCAATTAGTTTCTAATAGCTTTATCAATAGTTTTTAGACAAAGTTGAACAGCTTGAATCGAAACCAAAACCTTAGCCAACAATCTAGAATTTCTAGACTAGAAATCGGTCAAAAATACACGGTCACAGAATTTTTATCGAAATTCGAGTCACTCTCTTTGCTATGTGAAGTTTGTGCACACACTTATAATCTCGCATTGATTGTATACAGAAAACGAAGTGTGAAATTGTGGGGCGACGTAGATTTCGTGCGGCAAAATTCAGTACTTATTGGTGTGATTGAGCTGTAAATAGCCGTAAGTGATTTCGACATATTGTGAAATACCACGAAATCACACCAATTAGTACTGAATTTTGCCGTACGAAATCCACGGCGCTCTACAATAGTTCAAAATTTGACAATAAACGGGTGAGTTTGTGTTATTCGAATAATTGTTACCTGTTTGTATACTGAAGCACAGTAGTTAAGAAAGGATCAAGTTTTTTCGCCAGTACTATTCGAAAAAAAAGCGCGATACCTCTTCGTCGAAGCACTTGCAAATGAGAATATGATTAGCACATAGCATTAGCACCACATGTTTATTTCTGTTTTGTTTATGTGTGCGGAAATGATCTTCTTCAAAAAGATCACGGATCTGGTTGAATGAATTAAAATAGTGCATAAGTGGTGTAATCTGTAGTCAAAATTCTGTCAAAATTATGAGAGGCTCGTTCATCTGAAATCGTAGCAAACTGATGATTAAATTTAGAAACCAATCAATAATCAAATCAGATCAAATTTAAATGATAACGAACCTCTTATAATCAGATAGCGCCATGTGACAAATGCCTGTTCTGGTATTCGTTCGTTTGCAATATAACTCACTAATCGGTATTCATATATCTATTTACAGTAAGCTTAACGAGATGTCTTCAAAAGTTGATGATGGTTGTTGGAAAGATAAAACCGGCTCAGGTTTAAATTTCCGTCTGCCGAACGAAACAGTAATATCGACCGGTACATCGTTATAATTGCAATTTTTACACCAATTTTCATGGGGATGGCAACAGCGTCATCAATCACCATCACCACCACCACGGCAACAACACAAAATCTCATTAGGCTACTATCATACCATTTACTGCGTAACTACATAATTGTGAACTGTTATCCAAAAGACAAGGCAAAAAAGCAACTTGAACCCTAATTCATTCCGTTTGATTTTCTCATGGGAGACGATTTTGTTCCTGGACAGCAACTAACGCATTTCCATTAATTTACAGTGTGATTTAGTTAAAAAAAAAAAACAAAACAAAACCAAACATAACAAAACAAAAAGACGATTAAAAACAAGCGATTAAAGTTTAAGTTCTGTTTAAGTTGATACATACACATCAGACAACAAAACAAAAAGAAGCATTTATATCACAACAATAACAACATTCTATGACGTAATGGATAAATATTTTGAGCTTGTTGATAAAAGCACAACGAATAGTTTCAACAGCCATAGCTTTAGTGAAAAGTTCAAAATATTTTATTTTGATCATTTTTAAGGAATGAATTGATTTTTAATGAAATTTGGTTGTTTTAAATCTCCCTCCCCCCACATATATACACACACCCACATTCCCACGACCCCATACACTTACACACACACTCAAAATTAACAAGCCAATATTAAAATTAATTGTTATTCGTTTTGATGAAAATGTCCCATCGTAGTTTATCATTGAAAACAAATGCATTCTATGTAAATTATTATATACAAGACGATAAATAAAGCACTAAGATAGAGAGAACAGATTGAGATTTTCTCTCAACGCACACATCTGCAGTATATATTCAAATATATAAATGAAAAAAACAAATGATACGAGATGTTATTTGACAATAATAATTTTAAGCATTTTTGACGTTATTTTAAACAAAAAAAGCACATACAAACAGGAACTTTATTTCAATGTTGATTTTAAGCAGAAAAAACCAATTATAGAACGGTAAAAATGGACGGCATGAGGCCATAAAATTATTCTATGTATGTAAGATAATAAATAGAGAGAGGGGCCTAAAAATTCACTGCAAAATTTAAAAAACAAATTAAATCAAAAAAAAACTGCAAAATAGATGATTGAAATGGCTTATTCTAAATGTGTCCAAGTTCCATTGTATGTACGACAATTAAATTCTCTGAAATAAAGCTAAAAGCATTTGAAGCAAAATCGATTGTTATGCGTATTTGAAATTTCATTTTTCCTTTAATTTTTCTTTTTATCTTCATCTTTTGCGTCGTTATCCGATGAATAGTCAAAATGCGGGTTGAATTTTTAATGACTCACATCGTTTATCGGTTTTACAAGAAACTCCTAACGATTTCATTTTGTTCGCTTCGCATTCTTGAGAACATTTTTGAGCATCAACGAAAGATTTTTTTTTATTCTTGTTCTGGTGACGCAAAATATAGTCAATCATCGCCGATTTATTTATCAGTTCATGCGTCAATTGTATTACATTATCATAAAATGGTAAAACCGATGACCTATTACAAATTCCACTTGAATCAAACCAGTTGGAAACCGAATCGAACATAAAACACACGCTGAAACAACAACAAAAAAAAACATATAAATGTTATTAAAATGACCAAATAGAAACATAAATTCACAGCCAAATAATCAAATAAAGTATACCAAACGTTTCATTTAAATGTTCAAACTTCATTCATGACACATTTAAATTTGATAAAAATTCTTTCGGTCTGACATTTTGGATTATTTTCTGACAAAAATGTCTCTTGTTTTTTTGGAAATATTTCTCTCCAAAGTAGAACATTTGTCGACAGAATTTGCTTTTTTTTTGATTTTTTAAGCAAACATTCTTAGATATATTTCAGCCCAATTTAGTTCATTTTCTTCACAGAATTGAATTTTTTCTGACAAAAGGTAATATTTTTCCGATTATTTTTCGGCAAAAAAATATACCAAATTTAGTTAGTTTTTATAGCCAAAAAAGAAATTTTTCTGACCGTTTCGGGAAAAAAATATTACGTTTTAGATTTATCCGATGAAAAATCGAACGAAAAAGACAAACAACACAAAATACCAACAGAGATGCTGAAAAAACGACATTTGACGTTTTGGGCTCCAACAGTATTGCCAATTTTTTATTAATTCGGTTTTGTGTGCACTCACATAACCAATCTCACTGACGAAATTAAAGAATTCGGGCATGTATGTGCGTATGTGTGTGTGTGTGTGTGTGAGTGCGAGAGACATCGAAATTCCGCACACCATTTTTGTGTTGCGTGCGAATGTATTCAACGTCAGAGATGACGAAAATATTCGTTGTTTCGAAAAGAAAAAAAAGCGAAGACAAAAATGCCGCCATAGTCCAATGCACTGACATATGCAAATCATTTTAACGTAGACATGTTAACGAGTTTGTCATCATTCAAGACTCCTCTCTGACACTTTATTTCAATATAAGCGACACACACCGAATGAGTACATATTTCTTGAGTCACAAGAGAGAGAGAGAGAGAGAGAGAGAGAGAGAGAGAGAGAAGGCGATAGTCTTTGAGTCTGGGCTTGCACTATGAGTGTGTTGGTTAAAATTCAATGTTCACACATGCACATAAGTGTACGCACACAAAACGAGAAGAGTGAAAAACCTCAGTGAGCTGAACTGAGCCGCGCGGCGCGCCTGTGTGCAACCATGAACACACTCCATACACATTAAAAGAGAAGAAGAAGAAGAAGGAAAAAACGACGACTAAAAAGAAGAAGAAGGAAAACGAAGAAAGAAAGACAAAACTGACAACCAGATTTTGAAGAATTGAACGAAAGTATTCGATTTAGTACGCGAGAGTTTTTGGACTAGGTGTACATTGCGTATACACATTTATGTGCAACATATATACACGAAAATAATCAAAAAAAGAAGAGAAAAACACACAACAACAAAAAAACATAAAACAGAAAAGCGAAAAATAAAAAAAGATTTGCTCGTAGATTTAATGTTATTAAATTTTTTTTTTAGTTTTTACTTGTCGTCGATGTATTGCTATCAAATCTAAATAAGGATAGTGAAGGAATTCGTGTTTTGTGTATCGTTTTCGTATATATATATAAATTGTTTTTTGAAATCGGTCGAATCGGAATTTCTTTAAAACAAAACAAAAATCAAGTTTCGCATTTACGTAGAAAATATTCGATTGCGTTCGCGGTTGGTGACCAGTAAATTTGAAAGTAATTTTTGTTATTTTTTTCATTCATTCCCGATACACAAACAGAAGAAAAAAAAGATTTCTGCCCAGTCTGAAACGCACCACACCCCTGATACATTTTGGGTTTGATGCCATCACAAATCAACCGAATGTGAGAAAAAAAAAAGAAAAACACATTCATTCACAAAGAGAGAGAGAAAGAGACATTTTTTTTCGTGGTGTATTGTACTCAAAGCGCCACTGAATTACACGGCCTTACCTCTTGGCAAGAAAGGAAAAACAGGCGACAAAAAAAAATTATTATGGGAATTTTGTCTAAACCATGGACGATATGTACCTAATGAATATTATTCACAAGGACTCGATGTGTTTGAAGCTGAAATTTAGCAAACCTAATGATTTGAAGTTTATTGTACCATCATCACCAATACCCACAAAGAGGGAGTGCGAGCGAGAGTGAGAGTGAGTGAGAAAGAGAGAACGAACAATATCCAAGTCCAACGAAATCATATCGCGTTACCATGAGCATAACAAAACATTACATGCGATATTATATTATGATAAATCAGTTTGAGTTCGTTCATTTTTTTTTCATCTTCTGAATTTAATGTGAAACAAAGTGAAACTTTGTAAAACCAAACAAAACAAAAAAAAGCGACGAAAAAAACAACAACACCAAAGCAAAACGAAGCGATTTTTTTTTCTCTTTTTTACATTTTGGATGTCCATTCCCCGTATTCTACGTACGTGTGTGTGTGTGTGTGTGATTGTGTGCGAGTCTGCATCATCCCGTTGTACAAGTGTTTGTGAATGTGTGTATGCTTATGTGTTTCACTTATTTTTCCTCGCCTTTGAATCGCTGTATTTGTGTATGAGTGTATGTGTATGTATACTGTATTCATGTTCATGTTATTGTGTGTGTGTGTGGCATTCATTATTGGGACAATACCGATCCCGGCAAATGTTGTGGACGGTGTGTGTGTGTGTGTGTGTGTGTGTGACAAGTTCTTTCAAGAAAAGTAACAAGTTTCCAACAAAAAGTTCAATTAGAAAATCCGAAACACGGAAAATACGATTCATTTTTTGGTTTGGAATAGTGTACAAAAAGTGTACGAATTACATACGAACACGGTGTCGTGATGGTGTTACTGAAAATCGTGTGTAAAATTCACTCATTCATAAACAATTAAGTTGTCCGATAGCAGCAGCAACAACAACAAAAGGTGTAAATATGCGAATCAAAAAAATAAACGAGAAAAAAATAAATAAAGAAGAACACTCAAAACACATAATTAAACAACCATTGGCCAGAGCGATGGGGATTCGGCGTCAAACGAACGAACTGAACCGAACCGAACCGAATGAACAAACAAACAAACAGACGAAAAGACACACACACAAAAATGAAACAAAACAGAGCCTCAATCTTACATTGTCTTTTGATGATGAAGCTTCGGAATGGGTGAAACTATGTCATTCAAAACGCATCAATGAAACAAAAAAAAAAGAGATTCAATTCAATTCACTTTTCCAATGCTTTTACTCATGTTGCGCTCATGTGTGTAGACATGTGCATGTGTGTTTGTGTGATGTTTATTCATTCTTTTTGTCGTCCGCGCTAACTTAATCAATAATCGAGAGTTGTAAAAATGTGTAAATGAATGTGTCAAATTCGGTATCATTTCGTGAGTGAGAGCAAAAAAAAAACCACATACAACATACACCAAGAATAAGAATTGAACACTAAAATTCGACTTTTCCCATTTCAAAGGTCATACCGGGTCATCGATGAGCACTAACTGTCGAAGTGCTCTCGGTCAGATTTATCAAAAGATGAATTGAATGAAACGAGCGAGAAAAAAGAACATGAATATATGGAATGCACACGCATACATGAAGAAAAAAATTGATGTAAATAAATAGATGAAATGAAGAAAACAGAATAAAAATGAAAACCGTATCGAATTCTAGACCGCCGAGCGTCACAAGTCCATAGGCGCCAAATCAGCTGATTTTTTTTTGATCTTCATATGTATACACACACACCCGAAACACCGATGAGAGAGAGAGAGAGAGAGAGGGCAATCTTTGTGTCTCTCTCGCACTCACGTTCGTGTGCTCTCGATTATACTCTGTCGGCGCGCTCCAATATCCCATCTACACCGAGTGGCGCTCGATGATGATGATCAAGTCACCTCGTGTCATTTGAACCGAACAGACTCATAACTTACAATAAGTTTTTATCTATTATTTATTCGAACCAAAATTGTGATATGCAAGCAACACGCTGCTACAGTGTGGATCATAGAGTAGTTTTAGAGCGAAGAAAAAAAAATGAAAAGAAGAGTAATAATACGAGAAAGACACACACGAACTGAAAAAAAACAGCAACAAATGACACACGGGCACACATTTGAACGGAGAAACAAACAGCAAAAATAAATTATTCAAATCCGCTTGATAAATAGTAATGCAACGCGCGATCGCGAAACCGAAGATGAACACGCCAAATGCGAAACAACTGGAAAAACAAACATCATCATGAGCAGCAGCAGCAACATGATTGCGTGGGCCTAAGATCATTTGTGCGTTTTTTTTGCATTGCATTTGCTGATATTTTGTGTGTTCTATTTATGCTTTTTCCCTATGCAACAACAACAACAACCGAAAAAAAAATCCGTAAGACGCCACTCGATATATACGTACATAAACAAAGTGCGCAGACTACAACTGGCGCTAGCTCGCGCTCTCTCATTTTTATCAAATAAAAAAGGACAAATCAATTGAATTCGAAAGGGAATTGAAAACAAACAGAGTCTCAGCGTGCTGCTGCTGCTGTTCGTACTGCTGCTATTGAAGCACACAAGCAGCAGAGAACCGAACAGAATGACAAAAAAATGTAACACCAAAGAAATATATAACAGAAAATTGATACACATATTCTTTTCGGTGTTTTCGATTTTGTGAATGCGCCACACAAGTTTTTCGTCTTTCGCGCGCCGCGCCACACACCAACCAACCACTCTCGTTCGCACTATTGCTCGATTTAGACTCGAAATTGAGTGTGTGTGGATACGTAGACGGACGAGTTCGTTTGTTAAACGATTTCACGTGAAATTCGATATGGTTTGATCATACGCCAAGTGAAAAGTGATTCCCGTGTGCGATAATTTGAAATTGTATACCCTCATTTGTGATGATTTTATCATTTTCGATCTTTGTTTTTGCTGTTTTTCGGTGTGTCGATTTGTATAATTTGCCTACTTCTTTGGAATAATTTTACAGCATTACTCTACCCGTATGAATAACTAAGTGTGAAAATATTGTCATTTATAACACACCAAATGAATATATATATATATATATAACGAAATCTCTAACGAAATGTTTCTCCTTTTTTTCCTCTCTACTTTTCCACGTTTTTTTTCCGATTTATCAGATTTATCATTTGCGAATCATCATCATCGCGGCGCTTACACTGGAATTGGCGCTTCACATTCGTTGAGTGTGTATCTCTTTTTCTCTTCGTTGTGTGTGTGTGTCTGTATCGCACAATTTTCCCTTCAAAACACACCACACAATTGAGACCAAACAACCGAACGTTTATTTGGGAACCGAACCGCATATTAGATTTTTATTGAAAATACACCGAAATTTAATAAAACCGCCAACCTGGAACTAATGGAATTGGAGAATATTGTGGCCAATACGGTCTACCTCAAAGCGAGAGAAGGCAAGTCGATCTCGTGCTTTTTTTTATCGTCTCTTTCGAAAACAGCGTGAAGTGAACGTCAAGAGAAAATAAAAAATTAATTTTCGTTTGATTTGTTTGACATAAATGTTCAATTTGCGAACGTTATTCGAAATGATATACGTGCGTATATGCCACATATATTTAAATGTCATGTTTCTCGGTTCAATTTCACAGGAGGATCTGATAGCAACAAAGGCAAAAGCAAAAAATGGCGAAAAATTTTACAGTTCCCACACATATCACAGTGCATACATCTCAAAGACAAAATAGGTGAGTTGAACGTGATTCGATTTTGAAACGACGATTATTTGAAATTTAAAAAAGACACCAAGAGATCTCGATAGAATTTCATTGATTCAACGAACAATTTCTAGACGAATTGTCTCATTGCTCCATTTCAGATGTAAGTTACGATTATGTTATAGATCAACAACCCATTGGAAGAATATTATTTCGAATGTTTTGTGAAAACAAAAGGCCGCTCTACTATAGATATATTTCCTTTTTGGATAATGTTACCAGGTACGTTGTATTATATTTCATACTGTGTGCTTTGCGCAAAGCACACAATGTCTGTGGATAATAACCACCACTGATTCTAATAATCGATCGGTTTGAAACGGTTTAGCCGCGCCATTGAACAATTCCGAAATTGATATGTGTGATTGATAAAAATCCGTTTTGTTTATTTTTCGTGTGCATGTGTGTGCTCTCTAGATATGAGATCGAGTATGATGAGAATCGCCTGGAAATTGGATGGGATATTGGGAGGCGTTTTCTTGGCATCGAATGTGAACACAATACAATTAATAATACCCGATGCGATACGAATGCGGTAAAAGATAGTCATGATGATGTTGTATTACAATTTGCCGACACCGATGATCATAGCAATTGTGAACGACAGAATAGCACCGATGCAAATGCACAAGAAACCACAACAACACCACCAGCAACAACAAAACCAGTCTCAAACACAACCAACTACAGCACAACCAGCTCGAACAAATTATCCAAAGATGAAAATGTGAATGCGGCGAATTTGAGCAATGATGCCGACAATGTGGTCAGCAGTAGAAGCAGTCATGCAAATGACAACAATAAAGACACATCGAAAGAAACAAACTTGAACTGTGAAAAGGATGAACTGGTGTTAGATGTTTTAAATGACGATCTCATAGAAAAGGTTCGAGTGAAAATTTCATGTAAGTTACTTTTCTAATGCCAATTGCTCCTTTCTCCTTGGTTTTTCAATATCCATTTCCATGTCGATAATATATTCCTTTCACAATTTTCGTTTGGATTTAGTTCATGGTGCTTCTCCCGCCCTTCTCTCTCTCTCTCTCTCTTTCTCTATCTCTATCTATCTTTTCATCTAAAAACAAACCCCCATTCAACTCTTATTTTCGACTTCTATTATTTAATTTTTTATGTATACTTTTGTTTCTTTCTAACTTCTTTTTCAACTCTTACAGAGACGTATGTAAATTTGACTCTTTTTTGTAACTGCATCAAATATGTTCCATATTAATTTTGAGTGCAAATGATTTAATCGAATTGATTTTGCTTTTCTCCCTCTATCTGTCGCTCTCATCGGTGCTCTCCTGTAGTAGGCAGTAAGGAGGTTTTTGAACCGTGTGTTACCGCAGTTAAATCATTTCTAGCTGGAGAACCATTTAGCGAATTCGAATCATCGATGTATTTTCATAGGTAAGCAATTAACAATCGTTCTATTGAAATAAATGCATTCGCTCGCGCTCCGTGTATCCGATTCGTTCCAGTCTAGAACAAGTTTTCAAAATTGAATCTAAATCAAATAAACAAACGCACAAACAGACACCCTGAATGTGAATTGAGTACGCGTGCTTACTTACTAAACACGGCTATTTTTCACATTTTGTTTACGATTTTATTTGTTTTTGCTTTGCTCATTCAGGTATCTTCAATGGAAGTGGTTAGAAGCTCAACAAGTTACATATAAAACCTTTCGCATGTACCGTGTACTTGGAAAAGGTGGATTTGGTGAAGTGTGTGCATGCCAGGTGAGTTATTTTTATAGACATTTAACACAAATTTATCCATTTTAATTTATTGAAATCTATGCGATATATTCACAACAGCATTGCAATTGCAGAGTTCAATTTTGATTTATTTTTAATTTGTTTTTTTTTTCTTCTCGCTCTCAACTCGTTCAAGGTTCGCGCCACTGGCAAAATGTACGCGTGTAAAAAATTAGAAAAGAAACGTATTAAGAAACGTAAAGGTGAATCGATGGTATTAATTGAAAAACAAATTCTACAAAAAATCAATTCGAGATTCGTGGTTAATTTGGCTTATGCATACGAAACGAAAGATGCACTCTGTCTCGTATTAACAATTATGAACGGTAAATGGAATTTTTGAATCGGACTCTACCGAAGTGAATCGAACCGATAATCTAATGTATCAATGGGTTAAATTTTAGGTGGTGATTTAAAATTTCATATTTATAATATGGGTGGCGATCCGGGTTTTGAGTTAGTTCGCGCTAGATTCTATGCAGCCGAAGTTGTGTGCGGTTTAGAGCATTTACATCAACAAGGAATCGTTTATCGCGATTGTAAGCCCGAAAATATTCTACTCGATGACCATGGTCATGTGCGCATTTCCGATTTGGGCCTAGCCGTTGAGATTCCCGAAGGTGAAATGGTACGCGGACGTGTTGGTACTGTTGGTACGTTGAATTTGAATACTTTGAAGAATTTTCACAATTTTTTATTTCAAATTGTGACGAGGTGTAAGAAAGATTGATATGCTTGATTATTTTTCGTTGAAATTTGAACAATTTCGTATGTGCAATTTGCAAATAATTCCATTTTCCTTGTAGGATATATGGCGCCAGAGGTTATAGATAATGAAAAATATTCATTTTCACCGGACTGGTTCAGTTTTGGATGTTTACTGTATGAAATGATCGAAGGACAAGCACCATTTCGACTGCGCAAAGAGAAGGTTAAACGAGAAGAGGTCGATCGGCGAGTTAAGGTATCGTATTTAGATCAACTTACTTATAAACATTTTCCATTTATAGATGTTCTTTATTGAATTCAGTTTATAATTTTACAAATAGAAAACAAATCACTTTTCAAATGAAATATCAAGAATTATTTTTTGCTTTCATTTTTCAATGAAAATTGAAAATAAAATGTTTTATAAAGGAATGTCATGAATTTGTTGTGTTGAATGGTTTCTTTAGGAGGAGCCAGAGAAATATTCGCACAAATTCAGCGATGAAGCCAAATCACTGTGCCAACAACTATTAGCAAAGACTGTGAAAACTCGCCTAGGTTGTCGAAATGGACGCTACGGTGCACGTGAGGTGAAATTGCATAACTTTTTCAATTGTATCAATTGGAAACGTCTTGATGCTGGAATGGTGGAACCACCATTTGTGCCAGACGTAAGTATTTGAAAATTCATTTCTTTTTTCCCGTTGTAGTCTTTCGTTGGTTGATTTGATTGTTTCGGTGTTTTTTTTTCATTGGTTTATTCACTTGAAATGGAAATTAAACTTTTTTATAATATCATTTCAGCCACACGCAGTTTATGCGAAGGATGTATTAGATATAGAGCAATTTTCGACGGTTAAAGGTGTCAATTTAGATGCATCAGATGAGAATTTTTATTCAAAATTCAATACGGGCTCTGTGTCGATATCGTGGCAAAATGAAATGATTGAAACGGAATGTTTCAGCGAATTGAATGTATTTGGTGTGAATGACAATCCGACGCCGGATTTACTATTAAACGCACAACCAGTTGTTGATAAGCCCGGCTGTTTTCCATTTAGACGGAAGGTAAATCATTTGGCCAAATGTGACGCACATTTTCCCCTTTACTCAAGGCAAAGTAGATGTTAAAATGCATATGTATTTTCAGAAAAAGCAGCCAGCAAGAAGTCGACCGGTGCCGATACCCGAACACCTATTGACTACTAGCGAATCGAGACGGATAGCCAAAGTTGAAAGCTGATAACTTCCCAACGATTTTATTGAACAAATTTAATCAATACCAATGAAATTGTTTGTTTGTTATAGAAAAAACAAGAAGGAGAAATGTCTTATACACATTAATCCATTCTATTTGAATAAAGAAGGAACAAAAATATTACATTAGAACAAAAAACGCCCAGCAACACACTGTTTTCTGCACACAAACAAAAAAAACACAAAATCAAAAATAAAAACGACAAAAAAATACAATTAACTTTTAATCAATGTATTCTAAATTCATGTGCATACAAAAATCGAATTTCATTTTTTTCTCACAAAAAAAACGGTCATTTGTGAATAGGCACCAGCCAATTGTGTACCCACTTCCAATAGATCCGAGACAAAGACTTCGTTTTGTAAAGAATTTTTCCTGTCGAAATAAACACATTTTATTCACCAAGTTTTATTTTTCATTGTTCAATCGTTTCATGTTTAAGAGAGAAAAAAAAATGGTGGAACATCTTTTTGTCATTTTCATTTCCAATTTTAGAATTTTTCGCTGAAATTTTTTTCATTTTTGTTAAAATACTTACAATATAAAAATTGTGATTTTAATAACAAAAAAAAACCCACTTATACCATTAAGTATAATGTACGACCACCGTAGTGTTGCTTTGGTACTCATTTCATTTGAAACTTTCGTTCCACTGTCGTGCGACATACACAAGTATGTCGGACCACCGATGCTCTGCAACGTGGACGAATATTTACCAGAGCGTGTTATGAGCTGATGTCAGCAGCACTAACTGACGTCAGCTGCTGACGAGTATGCGTTGCGTTGTTTCAACGCATTTGCAGTGCAAAATTCA